GAGAACAGCATTGAAACATGTATATTATCTAGGGTGAAACAGATCACCAGCCCAGGTTGGGTGCATGAGACAAGTGCTCGGGCCTGGTGCACTGGGAAGACCCAGAGGGATCGGGTGGAGAGGGAGGTGGGAGGGGGGACTGGGATGGGGAATACATGTAAATCCATAGCTAATTCATTTCAATGTATAACAAAAACTACTGTAATGATGTAAAGTAATTAGCCTCCAACTAATAAAAATAAATGGAAAAAAAAATGTATGAGCTAAAAAAAAATTTATGAGCTATTATTATACATAGAATATTTGTTAAGAGCATGGGCAGATTTGGGCTTATACTTCATTTAAAAAGAGGATTAAATGAGATAACACATAAAAAACATTAGGACAGTTCCTGGCATGAGTTAGGTCATGTTCTCAAAGAACACCAGCATTTATCATAATGTTTACACTTTAAACCAACATTTTAGGAATTAGTGGCCTAAATACAGCTCTTTTCTTTTTTAAAAAAAATATTTATTTATTATAAATATTTTAAAATATTTATTTATTATATTTATATAATTATAATTATATATTATATTTATAAATTTATTATAAAATTTTAAAAAATATTTATTTATTATATTTGTTGGGGCTGAGCTGTGGCATGTGGGACCTTCCTTGCATCATGGGGGATCTTTCATTACGGCACACAGATTCTCTATTTGCGGTGCAAGGGCTCAGTAGTTGTAGCACACAGGCTGAGTTGCTCTGTGGCATGTGGGATCTTAGCTCCCTGACCAGGGATCGAACCCATGTCCTTTGCATTGTAAGGCAGATTCTTAACCACTGGACCGTCAGGAAAGTCCCTCTTTTTTTAAATTAATGACAGGATCATCTAATACACTATTCTTATTTGGACTACTGCATTCTTAATCCATCTATTACAACTATAATTTATTAAGTAACTGGTTTATGGAAGACATTAATTTCTTTTAGTTATTTGATTTAACCTTCAGGCAATCTCAATGAATTCTTGAGGCTTTCCAGATTGGGTGGAGAGATGAGAAAACTGAGACCCCTTAAGAAGTCAATGGCAGGAGCCAAGATGGCGGAGGAATAGGACGGGGAGACCACTTTCTCCCCTACAAATACATCGAAAGAGCAATTGAATGCTGAGCAAATTTCACAAAACAACTTCTGATCACTAGCAGAGGACATCAGGCGCCCAGAAAAGCAGTCCTCTGTCTTCGAAAGGAGGTGGGACAAAATATAAAAGATAAAAAGAGAGACAAAAGAGCTAGGGACGGAGACCCGCCCCGGGAAGGGAGTCTTAATAGAGGAAGTTTCCAAACACCAGGAAACCCTCGCACTGGCGGGTCTGGGGGAAGTTTTTGAATCTCAGAGGGCAACCTAACTGGGAGGAAAAATTAAATAAGGCCCACAGATTACATGCCTAAAAGCAACTCTCAGCAGAAAAGTACGCCAGACACCCGCATCCGCCACCAGCAAGTGGGGGCGGAACGGAGAGGAGCGGGCTGCATTGCTTAGGGTAAGGACCTGGCCCGAAGGCCCTGAGAGCAATCGGAGGGAGCTTTTTTAAACTGTGGGATAGCAAGAGAGAAAATTAACCGGCCCCAACACACTGCTGGCCATTCGCAAAACAAAGGGACAGAGAAACTCCAGAGAAGAGCTAGCCTGCGGCGGCCCGGCCATCCCCGCCGGAGGTAGGAGGCAGAGGGGAGGGGAAAGGGGCAAAATCGGCCCCAGAGACGGCATCTCCTACCACACTGCAAACAGGCCTCCAGTTTCTATCCAAAGACTTCCTGAGATTCTGGATGGTTGACATCCGCCGCTGGGAGGGTCACGGCTAGAGGCCAGCTCCTGAGAACAAACACAAGCTGCTGGCACCCGACCCGCCTGCGCAGAAACTGAGGCTGGGGCCGTGGAGGGGGGAGGGCATGCCGCACCCGGGGAGAGTGCGCCCATCAAGCATCTGACTGCCTGAGCCACTCAGGCTGGGGAAGGCACAAAACGCAGGCGCAACCGAGTCCACGCTTTTGTGGAGTACCTGAAAACTGGAACCGCGTGCAACGCAGGGCACGCTCCCTATAGAGCAGTCGGGAGCCTGAGCAATGTAGACCGGGAAAGCACAGACACCTGTGAGCGGGGCAAACCCAGTGTGGCCGGAACACGGTGAGTGCTACCCACACAGGCCAGCGATATCTGTATGCAGCACCCCGCCCTCCCCATAGAAGGACTGAACTAGCGAACCTAAATAAGAGATCACCTCCGCCCGCCTGTGTCAGGGCGGAAATTAGACACCAAAGAGACAGCAAACAGAAGCCAAGTAAACAAAGGGAACCGCTTCAGAAAGGACCGGTGCAACAGATTAAAATCCCTGTAGGTAACACCAACTACACTGGAAGGGGCCTATAGATATCGAGAAGTGTAAGCTGGAATGAGGAGCTATCTGAAACTGAACTGAACCCACACTGACTGCAACAGCTCCAGAGAAATTCCTAGATATATATATTTTTTTTAATTAAAAAAATTTTTTTCTTTCCTTATCTTTTTTATTTTTTCTCTTTTATTTTCTTTTAAAATTCCCTATTACTCCCCCATTACTCCTTAACTTTCATTTTCATATATTTTTATGATTTTTTTAATTAGGNGTTTTCTAATGCTGAGGAACATCTCCTTGAATAAATATGGGGTAGATCAGGATGTCAAAATTTGTTTGATAAGAATGGGATAGTTTTGGTTGTGATTTTTTTTACTTGGTCCTTTTTGAACATGCTTTGAGATGACTGGATGGCATCACTGACTTGATGGACATGAGTTTGAGTAAACTCTGGGAGTTGGTGATGGACAGGGAGGCCTGGCGTGCTGTGATTCATGGGGTCGCAAAGAGTCAGACAGGACTGAGCAACTGAACTGAACTGAATTAAGAAGTCAATGAACTAATCTAGAGTTACACCATCAGTTAGTGGTAATGCTGGAATTACCAGTCCCACACCACCATCCTGCTTTTCCTAAAACATGGTTTTGATCACATTATTCTTCTGCTCAAAAAGATTCATTGCCTCTCTTTTGCCTACAGAGTAAATGATGAATTCCCTTCATGGGCACTTAGTCCAAGGCCTGGCTTGTGCCTTTCCTCAAGCAGATTCACTTCCTTTGTCTGAAAGTTTCCCTGCTTACATATTCATTCATTCACATATGGATTGAGTACTAATTAATAGACTGGTCCTGTTTTGAGTACTGGAGACAAGTAAATCACGTTCCCTTTGTCCCAGTTTTTAGTATTTAATTGGAGATAGCCAAATAAAAAATCACCACCCAGTGAGATAGTTTCTGTAATAGAGTTGGGTACAATGTGCTACAGGTAAGAATTCTGAGAGGAGGGGGAATTTTTAAATTTTTATTCGATTTTTATTTTTGGCTGCACCATGAGGCATGCAGGATCTTAGCTGTCCAACCAGGAAACCAACTCAGACCTCCTGCATTGAGAGCACAGAGTCTTAACCACTGTACCACCAGGGAAGTCCCAAGAAGAGGTGATATTTTTAAGCTCAATCTTGAAGACCAAGTGGGAGCCAGCTCGATGGAGAAAGAATGCAATGGAACAGGAATTCCTAGACAAGAAAATATATGTGTGAAGGGGTGGTAAGTGGCAGGAGGTTAGAATTTTTTCTTTTGTAACTTTTGTTTTTTTCCATATATGTCCTTTACCATAACCTAAAATATGTATTATTTGGTTTATTCATTTGGTTTATTTGTTTGTTTTTTTTTTGGTTTGTTTTTTAAGGGGTGGCCAACAACTGCCTGTGGGCCAAGTTTGGCTTAATGTTTTATGGCTGGAGATCCAAGGATGGCTTTCACATTTTTGTGGGTTGTAAACAAACAAACAGAAACACCAGAGAAGAATATGCAGCTAGGGTCACAGGGTGGTCCACAAAGCCTAAGATATTTACTACCTGGCCCTGGATATAAATCATTTCAGAGATATGACTGCCTCTTTCCTCCACTGAGCTGAATTTCCTCGTGACCAGGATATTAGCACTGCTTTGTTTACCCCTCTGTCTTCAGGACAGAGTAAAATGCCCAGTCAGTAGGTTCTAAAAATAATTGTTGAGTAGATAAATATTATGTGGCTGGAGAGGTAGGCAAAGGGCAAGTGGTAGAGAAACTTGGATGCTGGTCTAAGAAATCTGAATTCTTAAAGCAAGGGGAGACTTGGAAAGATTTTAAGCCAAGAATATTCCTTGCTTATTTGAAACCTACTCACAATTTAAATCCTCCTTCATGGAGGATTTTTTTAAAAATTTACTTTATTGAAGTATCATTGACTTACAATGTTGTGCTATTTCTGTTGTATAGCAAAGTAATTCAGTAGTATATGTATATATTATTTTTCATATTATTTTCCATTATAGTTTATTATAGGATATTGAATATAGTTTCCTGTGCTCATGAGGCTTCTTTGACTACCCCATTTGAGGTGTTCTCTGCTGACGTCTATGGGGTCACACAGAGTCGGACACGACTGAAGTGACTTAGCAGCAGCAGCCGCTGTGTTCATCTCCCACAGAGCTCAGTGTCTTGGTACCCAGCCGACAGCAGAGTGAGAAGGCTGAGTATAGACTTTGCTTTTTACCTTTTTATTTTGTACCGGGGGATAGCTGATTAACAAACAATGCTGTGACAGTTTCAGGTGAACGGTGAAGGGAGCCAGTCACACGTACACATGTATGCATTCGCCCTCAATGAGCATGGACTTTGGAACCACATCGGAGTGAGGTCCATCTCTGCACTTCCTATCAGAATGACACTGAGTAATTTGACTTTTCTATTTCCCATCTGTAAAATGGGATGATAGCAGTCATCTATGCATAGGGTTGTTGTGAGAATTAAATGAGTCAATATTTGTAAAATTTGGAATAGTACCTGCATGTGGGAAGGGCTTAATAGGTCTTTGCTAAAAGTAACACAACAGTTCTATTGTATTATTCATTTTCTTTTTGTTGTTGTTTAGTTGCTAAGTCATATCTGACTCTTTGTGACTCACGGACTGTAGCCTACCAGGCTCCTCTGTCCATGGGATTCCCCAGGAAAGGACACTGGATGGGTTGCCATCTCCTTCTCTTTGCACGTATGCCTAAATCTTCCATGCAGACTCCTTAGGGAGAGGAGACTGCTTTTTTGTACCTTTAATAGCTCTTCCACTATTTGCAATGGATATCTTCAAGTCAGAAATTCAGATAAAAAAAATGAATCATTGAAATTAGAGAGGTCTAGATAGTATGATCTTTTGCTGTTGCTGTTCACTGTCTGCTCCTTTGTTATGTGTTTGAAAAGCCAAAAGGAAACATACAGGATAGCCTCCATGCATACTGTACTTTGTTAGAAGCATAGAAATAACACGTGTCCCTCTATATTTCACAGAAACAATTTTTAATTATAAATTAGTCTCCATTGTGCATTCATGATGTTAGAGCCAAATTTAGTTTATGCAAGCACAGATATGCTATTCATATTTTTTTCCCAAAATGTTTGCAACACCACCTAAATCATCTAGGATAATTTAGTGAAGCAGTATTTGTTTATGAAGCCTGGACATTTGTGCCAGTATTTTTTTTTTCTTTTTATATCTTGACTTAGACCAGTTCCAGAGGAGTTTTATAAAATTAATACTACTTTCTATTTCATTGCTAAAAAGGCAGCACAGTCTTCTGTGCATTCTGTATGCACCTATAACTAAACTATCTCTTTGACAGCAGAATGAGGGGGACCATCCCAAAGACCTTAGAGTTAGGCATGACTGAAGTGACTTAGCAAGTATGCACACACCCCAAAGACCTTGACTTGTACATTTTCCTTTATAGAAAAAAAATCGTAGTTTTTTCCAATGCTTAGCCATTTTTTTAAGTTAGAGAATCAGTTGGATTCAATCACACTCCAGAACACTGGTCGAAGTCACTTATGTGAAGTCCTTCCTAATTCTAGGAGAGATGGCTATTTAGCTTACCAGCTTGGTCTACAGAATTCTAAACAGAATTTTAAAATCAAATCTACTTGGACTGTAAATCCTTACCTGAAAAACAAGTAAATATTTGTTGAATACAATCTGACTTCTCAAAATTGATTACAAATTACCCAAAACTTGATATGGTTTTGCAACTACAAGCACACTATCTTCCCTGCTATATAAGTTTGATCTGCAAACATTTAATTTTACCCAGCAATTCTCTGTTTTACTAAAGTTACTCAATTTGATCAGGAAGACTGCAAGGAAAACTTTCTTAAATTTTGATTTAATATTGATTGCATTGATCATATAACAAAACCTGTCATACAAAGTGCTTAATTAATTTGAAATAATGTGAATGGGTTTGAATTTGAACTTAACAGCTGTAGTTAACAATTATCAGCCTTTTAAAGTCACCAACTTGTAATCAAAACAGTTTCTCTTCGGTAATTATTCTCCAAAGAAGAGAAGCAGTTTTTAGATGCAATCAGAAAAATTCATCCTGGCAGTTGACAGAACAGAGGAGAATTTGAGGTGGAGGTGTCTATTCCAGCCAGGGAAGTTTTTTATGTGGAGTTTTCTAAAGGTTTCATTTTCACCATTCTTGGCCAAAGGGGGGCTTTGAGGCTTAGAATCTAAAAATCGACTGGTGACAGTTTAAAGACAGCAGACTGAAATGCAGAATTAACTTAGAAATAAAAAGTTATGATTAAAGAGGTGATGTATTATTGTTAAAGTGCACAAAACCCAGTTCTAGTGGAACTCAGCCATCAACCGGCTTTGTGAGCTTGGGTGCAAAATTAAACCCTGGGCCTCATGGTGCTCATATGTCAACTAAAGGGATTTTCCTGGATAATTTCTTAGTCCTAGAATCAGCTCTGATGCTCTGGTCTAGATGTAAAGAAGTCTTTACCTTTGAGTCCTGGCTCCCCTTTGTCCCCCACTAAGTGGAATATCTGGGGAGACCCGGGAGTTCCTCTCTCTCCCTGCTCCCCCTTGGCTCCTGGGGGTCCTCTTTCACCCTTTACTCCTGGAATTCCAAAGCTCCCTAAAAGACAGGAATAACAGCATCAGTCCCTTAATTCTTTAAAAGTCCATGAGGATTTGAAAGCTAACACTGCTTATCATAAAAAAAGACAAATAAACCAAAAAAGGTTAATAGGGCTAAGAACTTGATTAATAGTTGCTCCCAAACAGGCAGCCACATGAGGGTAGTGGTCAAAGCCTATAGTGGAAAAATATGCCTCTATTCAAATGAGAAAAAGGAATACAGAAAACTGCAAAATTAAATACACGATTCCCTCAGAAATACTTTCTCCTCAAAGAATAAAATATAATTAATGTTTCTGCTAATTAAATGAATATTGTTCATACCTTCTAATAACTGGAAGATACTCCATCACTTACCCCTCTGTCCTGGGGTGCCTGGGTTCCCAGGAGGCCCTGGGGGACCAATGTGGCCTGGAAACCCCATCATCCCCATTATTCCTTTTTCACCTGTGGAAAGAAATTAACACAAGGCAGCACACATTGTAAATAATGAGAAAAGCAAATACTCCATAAAATAAAGTATACTTAGAGGAAAGAGAGTTGAAAAAATGGTTTCTGTAAATAGGAAAATAATCATAATAGTCTAGGAGATGGGTCAGGAAATGGCCTTTTTCTTACATCACAGATGTAGAAGTCATTGATAGTACATCACATTTGTGGGTGAGGAGAGACTATGGCTGAAGTTCGGGAGCCTTTCTTCCTCTCAACCTTTGATCAATAACTTTCTGTTATATTCCCTTATCTTACTTCCTTCACAACCTTTGTCTCTAGATGAATTTAGTTCTTCAATGTATTTGTTATTGTGTCCCCACTGTCGGAGGTGGAGTCTTATTCAGCAATGTGTCTCTAGGGCCTGGAACAGTGATGGCATATACTAGAGGTTCAGTAGTATAAATGAAAGGTTAATTAGCAGATTGAGTCCTTTTTCAATTTCTTTTAAAAACTTTTTAAAATTTGAGTATAATTGTTTTACAGTGTTATATTAGTTTCTGTTGCACAACAAAAGGAATCAGCTATAAGTATACACATATTCCCTCCCTTTTGAGCTTCCCTCCCACCCCACCACATTCCAACCCTCTAGGTCATCACAGAGCACCGAGCTGAGTTCCCTGTGCTATACCACAACTTCCCACTAGCTACCTATTTTACACATGGTCGTATATATATGTCAATGCTGTTCTGGGCTCTTCTCTTGAGGAGAGATCAGCGAGGTCCTTATACCATGAGAAGACTGTTGAAACATTCTCCCCCAAACATACAAACCATAAAAAGTGGTGCGATAAAATGAATTATAAGGGAATACTATGAACCATGATATGCCACAAAATTAGATAACTTAGACAAAAAGGACAAATTCTTAGAGAGGCGCAGATTACCAAAATTGACTCAAGAAGAAATAGAAAGTCTGAATAGATCTATAAGAAGTGAAGAGATTGAATTTGTAATTTTTTTTCTTCTAGGAGTTTTATTGCTACAGGTCTTAAAGTCTTATTTTGCTTGTTTTTGTTGTTGTGAGTTTTTATTTTTTTCTTTGTATATATTTTATTGAAGTATAGTCGACTCACAATGTTTCAGGTGCATAGCAAGGTGATTCAGTCATATATATCATTTTTGAGATTATTTTCCATTATAGGTTATTACAAGATATTAAGTATGGTTCCCTGTGCTATACAGCAAACCTTTGTTATTTGTTTCCTTATCTATTTTTTTTTTAATTAGAAATCTAGCATTCTATTCATGCTAAGGCAAACAAGTGGAATCACGACCGACTAAACAACAGTAACTTAAAAGGAAAATGTGGAAAACAAGGGAAGAAGAATAACAAAAGCAAGGGTACCTGGTGGCCCTAAAAATCCTGGATTTCCTGGATATCCTTTTGGACCAGGTGGTCCCATCTCCCCTCGGTGACCTGGTGTTCCTGGTAGTCCAGGTTCTCCAGGAAATCCTGACCTATCCAAGCCCGGGATACCTGGGTCTCCCTTTGGCCCTGTTTCACCTCTTCTGCCTGTATATAAATGAATGAATGAAAAAATGAACACACAACTGCTTTCCCCACCAACTCCAGATATATTTCATGGCTGTAAATACTTAGCTCTGTGATTTGAGCAAATCACACACTTATCTAATTGATTAATTTAATTGATTGATTTAGGTCCCCTTTTGTAGAATTCAAAGATCCCTTCTGGCTTTAAGATTCTGTGTTTCACATAAATCAAAACTAACAGCATCAAATTCTTTGGGGCAGAAACCACATAATGTGAGTTCCATCGAGTTAAATAAATACTGTTTGGAAAGGAGTTTGCCGATGCACCAAAAAAGCCTGTCTGTGTTGTAGGAATGTGTGGCGAAGTTCAATTTCTGTTTTATGAAACCTGTTTGGGTGGGGGTCAGGGGGTTGCACAGAGAATGAATTCTTGTATCCGTGTCACACAGGTAGTTACAGAAGTATGTTATTGTACTGTGTAAAGATGCCCAGTCATCTGATTTGTTTGGCTTTCTACTTTGTACCTTTTCAAGCTTTTGCTATACATCTGGAACCCTCAACACATACTGTGTTGTACTTCCTTTTGTAAATGATTTTTAATGGAGTTTTGCACATAACTCTTTGTAATACTGTATGATAATTCATGTGTGAAAATAATTCTTGCAATATCCTCAAAAAAAAAAAAGATTCTGTGTTTCAATGCTTCATGAAGTGATGATAATGTAGAATTTAGATTTATTTTCTATTCCTGCAGGCACATCTAGGGAATGCACTTTCTGACCATGGCTCAGTCTTTAATCTGCAGGATTGGTACTAAACCACTCATCTGGCAAGTCTCAGATGCTTCTGGAAATAATAATAGCACCACTACAACAATTAACATTTTGGCTAAAATTTTGCTTGTGATCACATTAGAAGTGTGGTAGCTGAGTCCTAAAGGATTTTTTTCCCCCAGAAATAGTTCACAAACCTGGTTGAGAGAAGCCAAAAAGACAGTAAATTTTCCATGACCACCTAATCTTCATAATTAGATTTATTTTCATATTCTTTTATGTTGCTTGTAAAGCAACTGACTATATATTCTAGTTTGTAACTTGTAAACATATATCTTTGCATACATTCATTCTGATCAATAATTAGGATACATTTACCACTTTAATATATGTATGAAAGTATTCAAGGTAAAATATTTTTGAGAGTTTATATGTATATATATATATAAATATATGTATGTATGTAATTTCAGTGTTCATATTTTCTTGCATATAAGACACAGGCCAATTTTACTGTAGTAACTTCAGGTCTCTTTCTCTATCGATGGTACTCACTGCAATGAATCTATGACAACAGGTTTCTGTTTTTGAAATCACTTTTCCCACTGAAGAGTGGTCAGGACTTTTTACTGGACAGTTCTCATGTCAGGCAGCAAAGCTCAGAGTAGGAGTCCCATGCCACCTGCCCACCTGGTGATTGGTTTCCAGGGCTTCCCCCTACCTGGCTGCCCTTTCAGTCCGTTTAAGCCTGGAAGTCCTAGAGCTCCCATGGGACCCTCTGTGCACCTCCCTGGGGGTCCTCTTTCTCCAGGCGGCCCAGGCTTCCCTGGATCCCCTGCAAAAGAGAGCCCAAACACAATAAGGTGCCAAACTCAAGCTCTTAGTATTGCGATTCCAGTCATTCTCCTATAACTTCCCCCCCCCCCCCCCCCCGCATGGAACTTATATTTATCACCATTGATAGTACCATAGTCCTATGTCTAATGCAGAGGACACTGGTTAAAAGAAAAGAAGGAAGGAAGGAAAAAAGAGGGAACAAAGGTAGGGCAGCAATGGAATGGAAAAATAATTAAGCCTCTCACATTCTATTTATTGAGCTAGAAGTTTGAGAAGAGTTCTTCACTTGTAGAGAGCACTTACACACTCAGCATTGTAGCTGAGCTCACAGTGGAAAAAGGTAACCATACTTGCTATTGTACCTCGTGGTCCATCAAGCCCCCCAGTTCCTGGAACTCCAGGGAGACCCGGAAGTCCAGGGAGTCCAATTTCTCCAGTTTCCCCAGAGCTGCCTCTTTCTCCTGGCAAACCTGGCGCTCCGGGTTCTCCAGGCATGGCTAGTCCTGGCTCTCCCTAGGGCACAAAAATGATGTTAGTTTCACTGCATCATGCTTTCAAATCCTTACTGACTATAGACTGGTCTTCAGAGCTATTTATTTGAAAATAATATCTCCAAGATGGAGGTTCTACATCCCTTTTTGCATAGTCTCCACCATTCCATCCATTTCCCTTTTCCAACTCTAGTTGCTGACTTTTTAAATAAAATTGTGCTTACTAATACTTCCTAGCCTCTACTTTTAAGAACACTGTGGAATTTTCTACAGTCTAGATATCTCTCCTTTTGATAGTTTTTCTCATAGCTATCCATGTTGGTTTTTTAAAGTTTTCCTATTTTAAGAACTCTGAATGCTTCTGAAGATTAAGGAAGAAATAGAGAGGCAACTTGGTATTCTTACACCTTCTATCTCCTTTCTAAAGGGGAGGAATAATTTAAAGAAACTTAAAAGAATCAGTATCTTCGTCATCTACAAATATATTGGTAATTTCTGCACACAGAGCATCCTGACTGGCAGGGGCATATGAACTGGACAACTGTAATTGTTCCTCTTCTCCCCCATATTAGTTTAAATTTTAATTATCCAAGACCTTGATTCCTGGGAGGCCTGGCTTTCCAGGTAAGCCTGGCTTTCCCATTTCTCCAGGACAACCTGGTGATCCTTTGGTTCCTGGAAAACCTCGGTCTCCTAGAGAAAAAATAATAAAGGTTGTAAGATAAGTCTTAAAAGAGCCTACGCAGTAGCTCTCTCATCTTAAAGTGCTTTTTCAAGGCAAGCAGCCTTAGGAGTTTTCATGAAAGTTTGAGAAATGAGAAAGACAACTGCTAAATTAGCACTTTAAAAAAGTAAATTCCAAATTAGACTACATTGGTTCCCAGTTTAAAAAAATTACCTTCTGTATTTTTGTTGCTTAGAGCCACTAAATTCTAGCAATTTTAGTTTAAACCACTGATACTGATTGACAATTTGGCTGCCTTTTTAAAAAAGTATATTTCACATACAGTGCACAACCAAATGAATTTTATCTGATGTGAGCAGTGACTCATTGGGAAAGACCCTGATCCTGGGAAAAACAGAGGGCAAGAGGAGATGGGGGCAAAGGAGGATGAGATGGTTGGATGGCATCACTGATTCAATGGACATGAGTTTGAGCACTCTGGGAGATGGTAAAGGACAGGGAAACCTGGCATGCTGCAGTCCATGGGGTTGAAAGAGTTGGACATGACTGAGTGACTGAACAACAACAAAGTATAGGTATCTATTAAGAAGAATAAATTCCTTATAATCCCACAATCAGAAAGAATCATTATTACCATTTTGGTGAATTTCTGTCCAGTTTTTTTCTGTGCATTTAAAAAAATACGATTGAGATGAGACTGCATAAAATGTGAATTGTTCCTTTTTTGCTTAAAATTATTTTAAGATTTTTTCCCCATTTAAGACTAGTGGAAAACATCATTTTGAAGGATTTAATGGATATTTCCTATGCTATTCATTACATGTGTTTACATTTTATACATATCCACAATGAACCTTATGTTTAAAATTTTTTGAACACTTACCCTTAGGTCCAGGAGGCCCAGGGAATCCAATTCCTGGAATTCCTGGTTCACCATCAGGCCCCGGGAGACCCAGATCACATTCTCCTGTGGATCCAGGGATACCTTGAAAACACACAGACATCCATGTCAGCACCTTCCCTGTATCTTGCCATAAAACAAGACGTTTGTTTCTGCATTGTCCCAGACCTTTTAGGAAATTAAGAAATAATAACCCCAACTTTCTACCCATTCCTATCTAATGAGCTTATCATTAGGAAGCACAAGTAATTTAAAAAATTTTTTATTTTTAATTGGAGGATAATTACTTTATAAATTGTGGTGGTTTCTGCCTTACATTAACATGAACCAGCCATAGGTATACACCTGTCTCCTTCCTCTCGAATCTCCCTCCCACCCCCCGCCCCATCCAACCCCTCTAGGTTGTCACGGAGCAGTGGCTTTGGTTCCCTGCGTCATACAGCAAATTCCCACTGGCTGTCTATTTTACATATGGTGACGTACATGTTTCAATGCTACTCTCTCAAATCATCCCACCTTCTCCTTTCCCCACTGTGTGCAAAAGTCTGACCTTTATGTCTGCATTTCCTTTGTTGCCCTGCACATAGGATCACCAGTACCATATTTCTGGATTCCACATATATGCATTAATATATAATATTGTAAATAATTTTGAAAATATAATTTAACTTCTAAAATGAATTATTTTTGATGTCTTGAACTATATGCCCCCATGCCCCACCATGAATGTAATGTTAAGTTTTAGATGATGTTGGCAAAGAAGTTAAACTTTCAAATGAAGAAGCTATGGGAACTGTCCCAATCAACCAGCAGTTCACTTTGCTTGCTCCTCCACCAAAAATCCGGGAAGTCTGTTCTTCTCTCCAGTCCCTCTTAAGGAATTGTATCAATTCTCTTTTGGAGTCAGAAGTACTAATGGGAATAGTCCAGATAATCTCAAAGGACGAGAGCAAGTCTCCTGTCTGTTGGCTTGTACCCTGTGACCCAAGCTCTTTATGGAGCCAATGAATCTGTTTTCCTTCTAATGGGAGAGTTATAGCCAGGAGAATCAGGGTGCCATCTGCTCCCATGTACCAGACGTGGCAAAGGGGATACTCACCAGGTGGACCCCGGGGACCAGCACGGCCTGGAGGCCCAGGGGGTCCTGGGGGCCCTGGGACTGGTGTCGAAACACCAGTTTCTCCCTCAGGACCTTAAGAAAATTTACAGCATAAGATTGGTTTGCATATTGAAGTTTTTATTTGTTCAGAAGGGAAAAACATAATTATAAGGGATTCATAAACATACCCCAAGGGATATAAAAAATAATCTTTGCTTCCATAGGCTTCAAACCTGGCTTAAAGATGACCAGCTTATAGAAACTCTCTTATTCAACTGACAAATATTTATAAGCATCTGTTGTTGGCTAAGCTTTGTTTTAGTTAATAGTCCAACATGCTGATCTATTAAAAGAGAACCTATTCTAAAAAAAAAATATTGATAATATGGAATTCAGCCTAACTGCTAGTGAATACTGGCAGGGTAATTATTTATTGGGTGACTAGTTTTCACAGGAAGACAGTATGCTTTACTGAATAAAGCATGAAGTGAGGCCTGACAAGTTGAACTGGGCTTGAATCTTGGCCCTGCTCTTTGTAAGGTCTATGAGCTTGAGCATGTTTTTTAACCTGAGTTCCTCAAGTGTTGAAGAAATAATGACTGCCTCCCCGGGAAAGATTTGAGATAATGTTCTGACCAAAGTGCGTGTGTGTGTGTGCACGTTCAGTTGCTTCAGCTGTGTCTAACTTTTTGCAACCCCAAGGACCATAGCCTGCCGGGCTCCTCTGTCCGTGGGGTTTCCCAGGAAAAATACTGGAGTGGGTTGCCATGCCCTCCTCCAGGGGATCGTCCCAACCCAGGGATTGAACGTGGGTCTCCTGATTCTCATGCATTGCAGGCAGATTCTTTACTGTTGAGCCACTAGATAAGCTCTCTGAAAACAGAGGCCAATATTAAAACAATTTTTACTGATTAGAATCACCCATATATTCATATATTTATAGAAAAAATAAGTTTACAGTAATGTGATGGGAGAAATTTGATGATGATATTCCCTTTGAAAGAACAGAGGAGGATTTGAAGATGAATTAGAAGAAGGTAAACTTATTTGTTAAAGGGACAGATGGTAAATAATTTAGACTTTATGGTCCAAATGTGTCTCTGTTGCAATAAATCTTCTTTCCTAATGTGAGAATAGTGAGGAACAATCTGTGTGCCAATAAAACTTAATAGGAAATACAACTTTTAGTGTCTATTGTATTGCCTATAATTTTTACATGTCATGAAATATTATTCAAAAAATTTTTTCCAATAAATTGAAAATATAAAAACCACTCTGAGCTTGTAGACTATACATAACTAGGCAGTGGGCTGGATTTAGACTGTGGTCTGCTATAGTGTGTCAATCTTTGGATTAGCATATCAGCCTTAAAGTAGGTGCAGAAAAAAATACTCATATAACTCATATAACCATATAACCATAAAATAAGCTTTACATATGTGTATGGACAGAAATGCATGCATGCAATTTATAATGTACTGTTGACCCTTGAACAACATGGGTTTGAACTGCAAGGGTGCACTCATTGGCAGATTTTTTCAATAGTAAATATTGAGTACTACATGACAGGCTAAGTTGAACTATGGGAGGAGCTACACACAGAAAGCCTGATTCTAAGTTATACACATGGAGAGTTGGTGTCCCTAACTCCCATATAGTGTTGTTCGAGGAATGTATATATAAATGTATGTGAATACTACAGGGGATGCTGCATTCAAAATCTTATTCCTGGTGAGGGATGCTATAAAAAGATTTGGAGACCACTGGTACTGAATCACTAAAGTGATTTTAGAAGTAAAAAATTACCAATGCAACATTACTTAACACTGTCAGTAACAGGAAATTCTTTTCAGCCATGTTTTCCACCACGGGTAAACATGAGGGTCCAATCCCTCCTGAATACCAGAGTTATGTTCAGTACACATAGATCCTAAAGTTAATGGCACTTTATGACTATTGTCAACACAACTTTTCTTCATTTGCCTTAGATATTTTGAAGTTTTATTCATAAGCCATTTATGAGGTTATGGATCAAAAAGAACAAATTGCAATAGCATGAGTGGGCCCTGGGGCTAGGAAGAGGCTTCTCAAGGTCAATCCTACAGGTCTCTGCCTCCCCTTTGTCATACCTGACTTCCACTCATCTCTTAGGATCTATTCATTCCATTTCTCTGTATCAGGAATGGATATAGACTATTCCTAGGAAATTTCAGCTGCATTGCTCAGTAACATTGCTCTCTACCACAGCCTCCATGTTCTTTCCCAGAGTCTACAAGTTGACACAGTCTTCTTATTAGAAGTAAATTTCTATATATTCACTAGTCTTGGGGGAGTTACATTCCCTCTAGCTCTAGGAACCATCAACCCACTCCGCAGGAAAACAGGACTGGAAAGAAAACTAACCAACCGGCTTCTCCAGGTGGTCCAGGGGCTCCAGGAAGTCCTTGGGCGCCCTTTGGACCAGGCTCTCCCTGTGGTCCATAGTCTGATGCTCCAGCCGGGCCTATGGGTCCTGGGGACCCAGGGATACCAGGATCCCCTGGAAGACCTGGGTCCCCCTTCTCACCACTCAGGGCCTGTATCAATAGGAATATGTTCGTATAGTGAGTCATCCAGTATCTCCTTACACAATCTCACATGAACATCAATACCAGTTAGGTCATCATTGAGAAGATCCTGAATTAAAAGGCAGTTGTTATTGAAGGCATTGTTTCTAAAATAAGCACTGAATGATGTCTGTTGTTTCCTGCCTTTTGGGATCCAGCAACATGTCATTAACGCTCTCAAGTCCCACTTGAGATGTCCTACAATGGATTGCTACACATGTAACAGCCCAGAAATCTCACCTCAGATTGGCCAACGATGCAAAGGGCATCAGAGCTGACATTCATGTTAATGTCACATTTCTAAAATAAACCCAGTACAACAAATCATCATTTGATTGGTTTTCACCAGGTATCTTCATTACAGAGGAGATATTGAATCTGTATTAATTTTTTCTTAAATCTTATGTTAATTTCATCATCTCTAGCTTTGAAAATGAGTTGTATCTTTTAAAGTTGAATTTGAAAAAATAATTGAAGTTCCTCTTTCCCCCCAAGTGAAAGTGAAAGTGTTAGTCACTCAGTCATGTTTGACTGTAACCTGCCAGTCTCCTCTGTCCATGGGATTCTCCAGGCAGGAATAATGAAGTGGTAAACCATTCCCTTCCACAGGGGATCTTCCTGGCCCAAGGATCAAACCCAGGTCTCCCACATTGCAGGCAGATTCTTGACCCTCTGTGCCCCCAGGGAAGCCCATCTGACAGGACTTTCATTGTTCAATGTCAACAGGTGGCTAAGTAGTCCTTCTTTTATGCTGGCAGGGTGTAAGACTCAAAACAGTTCCTTGATACTCCCTTACTTTCGGGGACATAATAAGAACTAATAAAAAAAAATAGGGAGATGTAAATAGGAGCATCATATGGACTGTATTGGGCTTCCCTGGTGGCTCAGATGGTAAATAATCTGCTTGCAGTGCAGAAAACCCAGGTTTGATCCCCAGGAAGGGAAGATCCCTTAGAGAAAGGAATGCCAACCACTCCAGTATTCTTGCCTGGAGAATTCCATGGACAGAGGAGCCTGGAAGGCTACAGGTCGCAAAGAGTCGGACACGACTGAGTGACTATCACTTTTATTTTCATGGACTGTATTAATACTAGAACAAAAGAATTCTGTACTCCAGCCCTTTTTAAGCATAACTACCGCCTTGGAGGGACAGCTGGCAGTTTGCCAAAGATGAGTCTGAAACATTGGCACTGCTAGCTGCTCTGGCCAAAGAGGGTTTTGTACACAAAAAGATGTAGGAAAGATTGCATATCATATCTACATTTGGGGAGTCAATTCATATTCTCATATTAAAGGGTTTGTGAATGAAGCTTTAAATTGTTTCCAAGTTTCCCTGTTCAAGGTAGAACACTTTTGATTGGATGACACTGATAAGCCTTGGAGTAACTGGTATTTCATGAAACACGCTGAGTAGCATGCCTTGTGAACCTCTCAGATATGTGTAATAAGTGGTCGGCCTCTGCCTCTATGACATTTAAAAATAAAGGTCAGTAAGAACCTCTCACTTGAACATGTGAGAGATTTTATACATGAAAAGACAGGATTTATACAAGCTTAAGTACTATAAATGACAACACTTTAGATTTTTTTGATTACACTAAATATTTTGTCCTTTTAGGCATTTATTTTTACTTAAAAGAATGAACAATGTCCCCAAAATACTGACTAAAACTTTCTGTCACTAATCATTTTCTGAACTTCCCTATAAACGCATTTGATACAAATGTGGAATTATTACTTGTATATGAGACAAGATTATTGTCAATGTGGAATTTTATTTGGGCTGAAAACATCATTGAGAAAAAAAAGATATTGAGTGCTACATATTTATTTTGTCAAAATACTATAAATATTTGTTCTGGTTTGAGGAATGAACTGTGCTGAAATTCCAATAATTTTTTGAAACGAGATCAGCTGATGTCTTAACTTTAGAGCCCTTCATTCAGAAGGAAGGTAATTTGGAAAAAGTTGCTGAGTACCAACCGGTTCTCCTTTAGGTCCTGGAAATCCTTTCACTCCCGGAGTTCCAGGAATGCCATCCAAGCCCTTTCTTCCAGGATGTCCTCGGAGTCCTGGATCCCCTGGGGCACCCACTTGTCCCTCTGGCTGAGATGCTTCACCTTTTTCTCCTTTAAGTCCTGGCTGACCCTGAGCACCTGGGAATCCCTAGGGTAGTAGAGAAATGTCTGCATTGCATTGGGTACAGTTGTTCTTGTCAATCTTAAAATAATGTCAGTAAGAACTTTTCAATTTTAATGGACATGAATTATTTTTCAGACATTTTCTTTGACCCACAAGTATTTCAAGCTTTTTGGCTTTATTTTTATTTCCAAAACTATAAAAAAACTCAGTTAGTATAATTCAATGCAACACCTATAATAATATAATTCAATGTGATGCCACCATCATTATAATTCAGATTATGTTTGAATACTGATAAATTTTAATATGCATCCATGGATAATTTGATCCACATACATTTATCCAAATATAACTTTCTGATTTTAAATTTTTTATGATTTTATTGAGGGATCTTCCTGACCCAGGGATCAAACCCAGGCCTCCTACATTGCAGGCAGATTCTTTCACTGTTTCAGTCACCAGGGAAGCCCCACAATATGCATCCAAGGATAATTTGATTTAAATGCATTTATCCAAATATAACTTCCTGATTTTATTAACAATTATATTGAAGTATAAATATCATAAAAGGAATCCTTTGTAAGACTACAACTAAATGATTTTTAGTAAATTTACACATTGCGCTGCAATCGCCGCAATCCAGTGTTAAAACATTTCTATCACCCCTCCAAATTCCCTCAGATCCACCCCTATGCCCAACCTCAGCCTCAGGCAACCACTGATCTACTTTCTGTCTCTGATACCATTTGAAATGATGATAAATTCATGAATTCACTTATTCATTCACACAACATTCATTAATTCATTCAATCCAAAAGTATCAACTAAGTGCTTTACTATTAAGTAAGCCTTCTTCTGAGGCACCAAACCGACAACTTATATGGACAGCAACCATTATCTCCAGAGTGCCCCAATCTGAATCTAAATAAAGCTTCAAAACTATGAAATCTTACTGGAAATCCTGGAAGACCAGCAGTTCCTGGGGACCCTGGGCTTCCTTTAATGCCAGCTGCCCCTGGTTCTCCTGCAAAGCAGTAAATTATTAAGTGGTCATTGAACACAAACAGAGTAGCCAGGGTAAGGCAGTGTGTGGGGAAAATCGGGCGTTTTCTCCTGAAGAAAGAAAATTTCTATCTTAAAACACACAGTGGAGGATGACAATGGGAGTGAAAAAACTGGAAAAAGAGTTATGTTCAAAATAAGTACTCAAATTTTAGCTTCCTAAAATTCTTGTCTTTATAATCTTAAGGAATACACTTATTTTTTCCTAAAGATAAAAGTAATGGATGTTCATGGTAAAAAAAAATTATACTGAAAGAAAAGAATAAGAATCATGCATAAATCTACCACCAGAAGGTAATATTTGCTAAAATTTTCATGTGTATTACTCATAAAATTTTATATCCATAAATGTGTAGGACTTCATAATATACTTTTTTGGTGTCACACTATGCATATGTCAATAAATATGGATTTATAGCTTCACTTTAAATGGCTGTAGCTTATTGTGTGGGTGTGCACGTGTGTGTGTGTATGTGTGTTCAGTTGCTCAGTTCTGTCCAACTCTTTGTGACCCCATGGACTGCAGCCCACCAGGCTCCTCTGTCCATGGGATTCTCCAGGCAAGAATACTGGAGTGGGTTGCCAGATTATTTATTCAGCAAACAGCTATTTTTAGGCGTTTATTTTAAGATTTTTTTGACATGGACCATTTTTAAAGTCTTTACTGAATATGTTACAATATTGTTTCTGTTTTATGTTTTGCTTTTTTGGCTGAGATACACCTGGGATCTTATCTCCTGGACCAGGGATCAAATTCACACCCCCTGAATTGGAACTCGAAGTCATAACCACTGGACTACTAGCGAAGTCTCTATTTTTAAACATTTGCATTGTTTTATTCAATCTTAGCTGTTGTAAACAGTCCTATGATAGATACCCCATATTTAGTTCTGTGAATTTAACCAACGATTTCCTTTACAATAAATTCCTAAAAGTGTACCTCCGGGTCCAAAGAGGTAAAAACCTTTCTGAGGCTCTGGATATCTGTTGCTAAATTGCATTTTGCTGTACAACTGTATAGTTCCTCTGGGTATTTAAATATTTTGGTAAAGAGGATCCCTTTAGAGGGTCTTTTGGATGGATCTAAGGTCAGTTTATTAACAAATGTTTATTCATATTTTATTTTAATACAAGATGTGAGTCAGGAGAATTCTTTTATAGTAATCAAAACAGGTTTACCATTTATGCATCTTCTTTAAGCTATAGCTGTAATTCCTCAAATGTAAGGAAACCAAGGAAAATATAGCAATGCAACTGGTTGGGCAGCATCAATGAGCTGCCCACCTGCATCTCAAGCTTTGGGTCAGAGATGACTCTGGAGATGTAGGAAAATTATGATAGCTTTCCTTTTGTTGCTTCTCTCCTCCTTTCCTTTTGGTTTTTTTGAACATTTTCCCCCAGAGACTTGGGTACCAAAGAGAAGCTACAGAAAAATACCACCCCTGTTCTTTGCCCCATCGTTTCCGCTCAGGCTTGTCTCAGGTAGTCAGCAACTAAAGTGCAATAGAGGGAAATGCCATGTTTTATGGGGTTTTTGGCCTCCTTTATGTTAACAGAGTGTTTTTGAAGGTTTCCCTCCAAATTCACATAAACCACATCCTAACATTGAGCAATCTGATGTCTTTTTTTTTTTTTCCTGTCCAGTGAGTGGAGCCTTTTGGTACTTGCAAAAACACTTGGGTGTAAACTGTCCTACCTTGGAATCCTTTTTCACCTTCTAACCCTGGCAATCCAGGGGGGCCTGGAGATCCTGGGACATAAGGACACTGTGCGCACAAGAGGCCCGGCTCCCCTGCAATGAGAACACACTTGCGTCACTCACAAACCCACATCGAGTCCTCAGAAAGCACTGAAACTTTCCAACCACATGACCATTTATTACATCTAAATTTTTTTCATGTAGTGAAAATTATGTATGTATTCATACATATCTAGGACATGTATATTCATAAAAAATAATTCATCTATTATATCTGCTTATTGTATCTGAGCTTTTCTTTTTCTTTTTTTTTTTTTTGCGTTATAGAAAGGAAATCCGAAGAGCCCAGTAACAAACATTTACTATCTCAGTTTTTCTCTCGAGTGCAGGATAAAACTCACATGCTAGGAACAGCCAATGATTTATTGCACAGGTGCTAAATAAATTATTGATTTTCAGAGAAATAAATACTATTAGGTAATCCTTTTGGAAAAGAAGCCATCTGTGACTGTCTGCTGTTTGGGATCATTGTCTCTGGGAAGTATAAAATAAGTAATGATAACGGTGATGAGAATGACTCATTCTGATCGAACATCACCAACTGAACTAACCTTTGGGTCCACCGACTCCTGGGATACCTGGCGACCCTATATGGCCTGGATATCCACCGACTCCAGGTGGACCTTCACGAAAAACAATACCACCTGCAAAGAGACAACATCTAAGCTAATTTTTTATTTAAGTATTTTTTTCAATTAGCAAGTGTTTTAGTAATGTCTTTATTTTATATGCATTTCCCCATCTGTTTTGCAAGTTGAGTCTTGTGAAGGTTACCTGCAACTGAAAAGAGCGACCAGCTTTCCTTTCACATCATACACATGATTTTTTTTTTAAAATAAGGATGCAGTTCTATTGCAAGTGCCCTGGGTTCCAGATCTTGACTTGAACATTCCTGAGCTTCAAGAGTTATGCACATCAGGCTTGTCATCAATAAAATGAGGACATAAATCTTACATTTGGAAAAAAAACCCAGAGGGCTAAGAGCCCTGACACATTGTGAAGCATTTTAGTTTTGTTTTGCTTTGTTTTCCACATAGATACCCTCCTTAACTTAACAGATTTGTTCTTGGACATTATGCCTATTAATAGGATAATTTCTTTGATGGTTGTTAGCCTAGAGGAAAGCTTTTATTTATTATTTATTTAGACTGCTCAGCTTATCAGATCTTAGTTCTCCTGACCAGGGATTGAATATGGGCCCCAGCAGTGAAAGCATCAAATCCTAACCACTAGACCACCAGGGAACTCCCTCTATTTATTTTTTAATATTACTCATAGAAGTAGGTACTTAACTGAATTTCTTTTATTAAGTTTTCCAGATTATTTTCTTAATTTTCTATGTTTTAATAATATTGTCTACAAATAATGATTCCTCCTTTCTTAAAAAGATCTCTGGAAAATTCTTAAGGCTAGTAGGAGGGCTGAGTATGAAACAAGACCTCCTAGGTACCTTCCAGGAAAGGCATTTAAAAATACATGGTGTGATCTGTATGTTCTTGAGGTGCTATACTCCTATCAGCCAACACATTTTGTGAAGTGGCTCTGTCACAGGATGCGGGGAAAAGGACAACTTCATCAGAACCTCCAGGTACCATTTCACATCCTCTGGGCAGCAGCTCTGTGGTTTCTGACCCACTTTACTTGGCAGCATCTTGCCTCTGTTCATGTTGCTCACCTGTAGTTTCCTACTCTGGGGCTTTCCTGCTGATGCCAAGGCATGGGATGCCCTGGAAGCAATGGAAACAGAGTCTGGAAGTGTGTGTTTGTGTGTGTGTGTATGTGTGTATGGTGGTGATAGTAGGGTGTTTGTCTTATCCCTGGAGAAACTTTTGCCTCTTGGTCCCCAGGAAAAGTTTATCCTGAGATGAAGTTATGCAGCTTCTTGGAAGACAGTCTCCAGGGACAGAACAAGAAGTTGCACTTGGCCTAGGCCAACATGATAACAGTCCCTCCTTGTCTGCTCCACTCCTCTGTCCCTGCCTCCCTCTGTCCTCGGGCTACTGCTGGGCTGATCTTGCCAAGCAGTCATGCTTTCACAGGCAGCTAATAAAATTAAATACCAGTAAGGTCCACATGGATGGCCAAGCTGCATGTAAGGCTCATTGCCCCGATGGGCACACCTCTGTCCCTGGGCATCACACGCAGAAGGGTGCCCTGAAGCATCTTTACCTGGTGGGCCTGGAGGTCCCGGGAACCCCATAGGACCTGGAGAACCAGGACAGCCGGGGGACCCAGGAGGCCCTGCTGCAGTCTTTCCTGGGGGTCCTTGCTCCCCTTTACTTCCTTTCACACCAGGTACTCCAGGGGCTCCTTGGAGGCCAGGCCTTGATGACCCTTGGAGAAAATAATCATTTATTGTATTTAAAAATTTCCCCCTGACTAACATATGCTTTTCAATTGCAAAAGTGAAATAGTCCTGTGAACGTTATACAATCAAAAAGTATACAGAACATATGAAACAAAGTGAATTTTCTTCCCTCCCTTACCTGTGACCTGGTTCAACTATCACAATACAGCAGAGCTCAGAACACTCTATTCCACCAGGTAACTTATGTGCTTTATTACATGGGAATGAAACAGAAGTTGGGATTCACTGTAGTCTCTTGATTCAAAAGGATTTCAGGAGAAATTACTCAATATATGCTAAATATTTTGTAATTTTTTTTATTAGAGACTAGAAGATGCCTATCTTTCAGTGTCTCAAATAAGAAAGAGAGAAAAGTGTAATTGAACTTTTGTTGTTGTTTAGTTGCTAAGTCATGCCCAACTCTTCTGTAACCCCATGGACTATAGCCCACCAGGCTCTCTGTCCATGGGATTTCCCGGGCAAGAATAACAGAGTGGGTTACCATTTCCTTCTCCATGGGTATTCCTGATCTAGGGATAGAACCCACATCTACTACATTGGCAGGAGGATTCTTTACTATTGAGCCACAGGGAAGCCCATTTGAAGTTTATTTCCGCCAATTGTTTTGTGTGCTGTGTGTGCTAAGTAGTTTCAGTTGTGTCTGACTCTTTGCCATCCTATGGACCGTAGCCTGGCAGCCTCCGCTATCCATGGAATTCTCCAGGTAAGAATAGTGGAGTGGGTTGCCACTTCCTATTCCAGTGGTTCTTCCCGACCCAGGGATCAAACCCACGTCTCCTGTGTCTCCTGCATTCCAGGCAGATTCTTTCCCACTGAGCCACCGGGCAAGACTACTGGGAGGTGCTCTTTCTTAGTATTTGGTTGGACCTCTAAAATCTCCACTTGCATCATTTCACCGTCAAGAAATACCTGCTGTTAAGAGTTTGGTATATATTTTTCCATGTATATGCAAGCACACATAATATGTATGCATTTCCCCTTTTCTTTTACAATAAAATCATAATATACATACAGTCCTCCACTCTCTTTAACCTTAATTCATTTTCAAAATTATTTTTAAAATATACAGCATAGTATTAAGAAAAATGAAATATAATCAATGCAAGGGTTTATCAAATCTTTGCTATTTTGTTCTTATTTTGTTTCCCTTTCACAAGATGACCCATTACAGAATGACAGTTAAAACTGAGGCCACTGTGGTTAATCCTTAACTAACCATCCTTGACCCTATTCTTCCTCTTTCAAGAGGCAACCACTCTAATGATTCATGAATATTTTTACACTTCACAGAGTTGTGTATGTACTACAAACAATATATATTAAAATATAAAATCTGTATCTATGTATCCTTAGGCAACTTGCGATGCATTATGAAAACTAAACTATCACTTTAACCAACCTAATTGCCACAAAATTAACCTTTTTCTTTCTCTGTATTTTTTCTGAGTTTCAAGCCTCCTGCTCCCACACCAAAGTTACTGCCTGACACTTAGTTTAAAATGTGTGGGTGCTAAGTCTTTTCAGCTGTGTCTGACTCTTTGCAATCGTGTGGACTGTAGCCCGCCGGGCTCCTCTGTCCTTGGAATCCCCCAGGGAAGAATACTGGAGTGGGTTGCCATGCCCTCCTCCAGGGGATCTTCCCAACCCAGGAAATGAACTGGCATCTCTTAAGTCTGCTGTGTTGGTAGACGGGTTCTTAACCCCTAGCGCCACTTGGGAAGCTCAGTAGTAGTTAAAACTACTGAGAAGTGAAAAAGAGCTTTTGTATATCACTTTGGGTCAGTTTTCCCCCCTTTTCCCCTGAAGGTCCCAAAGTTAATGATGGAGAAGTTGGAAACACTTGTATATTAATTAATGAAACATCAGTCTTATGTAAATAATGCAAACTCATTAGAAAGCAGCATGTTTTCCTTTTAATAGTATTTGTATTGGTATCCGAGAAACATGTACGTACCAGGACTTCCAGGGGCTCCAGGGGGACCACTGGGACCTGGGGATACATAACAGTAATTGTTTACAAAGATAGAAATATCCCCTCCTTCCTTTATTGAAATCTTAGATGGCAATATAATGATAATTACTAACACATTTTTCATGCTTTGCCTCTACTCTCACATAAGTACAAGAAAAGTTCACTCATTTAGACAAACTGCGAAGAAGAAACTAAATTCATCTTAGATGTCTAACACTCAAAAACAGGGAGGAGGCGAAATAGGGGATTAAGGGAAATGAACTACTATGTATAAAACTAATAAACAATAAGGACATATTGTATAGCACAGGGAAACACAGCCATTATTTTTAATAACTTTACATGGAGTATAACCTACAAAAGTATTATCACTATGTTGTACACCTTAAACCAATATAATATTGTAAATCAACTCTACTTTTTTTTTTTAAGTAAATTATAGTGCTTTATCATCTTCAGATAACTCAACAGACATTTCCTAAGAGCTGTTCTGTGTTTGGCACTCTGCTGGGATGATTCAGAGGTCAGAAGGTCAAATTGCTGAAAATTGTCAAGAACCTCAAATTTGGCCTGGATCCATTTCAGATCACTTATAGCTATAACACCGAGTAGGGTTCCAACTCTTTGATGTATATTAGTAATTTATAGTGAGCATATCAGATTTTTAAAAACATGTGTCTAATAATTATGTGTCCATTTGTTTAAAACAATGAGAATTTTTACACGTTTAAATAAAATTCTCCTTGAAATCTTATTTACATCAATCATTTTCCTGAATCAGTGGTTCTCAAGCCTGCTACACATTAGAATTAATCTAAGGAGCTTCTGTGACCTGCCGGTATCCAGGGCCCTCCTCCAGGCAATTACATCAGAATCAGAAGGAAGAAATGGGGACATGGTTCTTATTCAGCATTTCTTGGGGATTTCAATGTGTGGTGAGATATAGAGCTTATTAGACAAGATCATCTCAACCATCAAAAGGGACAGAATATAAGTCAATGTGACTTTAATTCATGGCCCTGGAAGTCAGGAAGCAAGGGCTTCAGTTCCTTCTTGTCTCTATTTGCGTAGATTTGCTCAAATGAGAGCTGTTCGGGGCTCCATCTTCTCTTCTGTAATCCCTCTGGGACTGCTGGTTTTGGATACTCCCTCTTCCTGCCCTCTGGCTATGTTAGTGTCTTCCTATCAGATGTGAACATTATGTTTAAAGATATTTAATTATGCATAAAGATAATCAATTACTGTCTACTGTATACTACCTAAGGAATTTTCTCAGGAAAATATGAAAATTAGGAAACATCAAAAAATACCACCACCTGTGAACATTAGGAGACTGCCCCTTTCCTCTTGCAAATTCTAGGTCTATAAACACATGCCTTGAAACACATATTGCCATGAATGAAAGACACAGGATGATCAGCAGATGCTTTAGGAAGAAAATTCTTCTTACCCTGTGGGCCACGAGCTCCCTTGGGCCCTGGTAGGCCTGGAATTCCTTCATCTCCCTTTTCCTGGTATGCATCATAATATTCTGTCTTAAAGGAAAATGAAATTGAAAAAAAAAAAAGAAAGATAGCTATTATGGTAACTTGCCAAATACAATTACTTCAGTTTCTTCTTTTTTGACTAAATGATACGTTCCTTGTTTTCCTGAATTCACAGGCTTATGTGTTAGAAAAACATGGCAGTTAGATATATGGGATGGATAAATTCAAAAGTTAACCTGGTATCATGACAGTGCATATTTCATGGGCTTTCATTTAGAAATACATTTTCTGATGTGGCCCAAATCATATACGCACACTTAAATATGTATATACATATCTATATACATGTGAGTATGTATATAGAAATTAAAGTTTTACAAAAGAGTAACTTCTTACAACATATGATCAACTCTGATATTTTTTATTCTAATCTATTTCATTTTTTAAAAATGCTTGTCCTGTGGACTAAGTTTATTTCAAAGTACGTTGGGACCTACACATCAAAAAAATACTTCATTGTTTCTCTAAATTTCAGGACAGCATTGATCTTCAGACAAACGTTTCCTTAGTCCAAGGACTGAGGATTATTAGTATTTCTGAAGTGATCAATGGACCTTCTGCTCATTTCCTTAACCATCTCCTTCCAAAGCAGAACTTCCTCTGAAGTCAGTAGAAGCTGCAGAATTATGTGGAATTGAGCATTAAAAAAAAGATGGAACTATAAGTTTTTAAAAACTTTTTTCAGTTTTATGCTGCATGGGGCCAATTAGCTTAATGACTTGTTTAAAAAACTATAACAAGAACTTTGTAGTTAAAACTGTATGCATAAAGTGAAAAAAATTCATAATAATAATAGTAATAATAGTGTAATAAACTCTTTCATCATAAAATCCATCAAGATATGTATGTACCTGCCAAGTATTGGCAAAGTACTTTCACAAAATAGCCTTTCATCTTCCCAGCAACCCCTTAAAAGGATCTTGGGATTGTCATCTGCATCATTTGCTTGCAAGGTGAAGAAGCTGATTTCTGGGACCCTCCTTCAGTTACTGAGTTAGCTTCCTTGGCCGGGGGGGGTCTGGGAACTGCATTTGTAGGAGGACACAAACGCACCCCTCCAATGACTCCTCTGCCACCAGGGACCTTTCTGTCACACTTGCAGGTCTTAAATGGGAGCTCTGCTCTGCACTCTGAATGTGAGAACCACCGTCACTTGAGGCAGCAAAGGAAGGTACCGGAACTCAGAGCCTGGGTCCCATTCACACCCATCTCAAGCTACAGAGTCACTATATACAGCATGGCCACCCTGTTGCCAGGAGCTGATGGACATCAAATCCATGTCCACGTGGGAAGGAGAGATCACCTATCTCCAAGGAGCTTAAAAGTGAAAGTGTTAGTTGCTGAGTCATCTCTGACTCTGCAACCCTATGGACGATAGCCCACCAGGCTCCTCTGTCCATGGACTTCTCCAGGCAAGAATACTGGAATGGGTTGTCATTCCCTTCTCCAGGGGATCTTCCTGATCCAAGGATCAAATCCGGGTCTCCTGCATTGCAGGTGGATTCTTTACCCTCTGAGCCACCAAGGAAGCTTGGGCTAGGGTCACTGGCTTTTGCAGGCCTTGAATTTAACCCAAAGTTGAGCTTCTGCTGCCTCATAGTTCAGGGCTGTCATAACAGGGCCCAGAAGGTGAAGTCCTTCTCCCACCCCTGGTACCTGAGCTATCCTTCACTGCTGCCCTGCTATGCTACTCAAAGGTGCAGGATGACCTTAGGCCAGGCCTGTCTAGACAAAGGCTTTTTTCTCTGCAGCCCAGGATGGGCATTGCCAGTGCATTCCAGGGACCAAGTAGGACCAGATAAAAATATTTGTCCATTATTGAATGGACAAATAATGACAATAGCTATTTTTTTTTTTGCCCTGAATTGATAAAAAGGTAAATACTATCATCTCTAGCATAGCAGTTAATAAGGGACACTGATTCCAGATTTCCTTGATATTTGGAGACTTGATCAAGCATAATGTTAATATTGTTCTTCATTACACTTACTGGACCACGAAATCCTGGAGGGCCAGCGTTTCCTTTCCACCCCTGTATTGAAAGACAGTTACAAATTATGAGCACATTAAGCAAAAGTATTTACATGTTAGGTATACTTAGAAATCAAAATGCAAGGTTAAATCTATGCTAAAACTGATGTTATTTCTATGAAATGTACAAGTCAAATTAGCACAAAAGGGATATTGACTTTTGATTATTTTCCTGGAGGGCCATATCTGAGGCAGAAATCCTATCTACAAGGTCTGGAAGAAGTGGCTCTTGTTTTCTTGGTTTCTTCCACATCACTCCCTTCAAAGGATGTTTGCATCGCTGCATGCTCTCCCTGTTCGCACCTGGATGAAAGGCACAGGGAAGCCAGGCCATGGGTTGTAGGCAATTCCCAGTGTCCCAGCTATAGTCAAACTTTCTTACTGAAGAGGGCATTCCAGAATTCTACAGAAAGCCATAATATCATAGGATAAAAATCTTGACGCTGCATAAATATACCTATATAGGAAAATTATTTGAAATCCATAACGTGTTGTCAGAAATAAATTGATGTGAAACCCAGTCCACAGTTCACCAACGATGACCATTCAGTTCATCGTGACCCAGGTTGAGACTCACAGGGTTCAGACCATGCTTGACCTCCGATGAGCCGAAACTTCCTCCAATCACAGACAAGTCCTTTCCAACTCCTTCCTCATGGGAAGCTGAAATCTCACTGGTCCTCAGCCAACTTCCACTACACAGAACAGGTTTAACATCTTTCCCTTCAAGTGTTTAAATAAAGCCGCCACAGCTCTCCTTTCTTCCTAACAAATATGCTGAGGTATTTTAGTGAACTCTGACTGTGACTCCTTGCACCGAGTTTCAGGATGTGGGGAGGAAAAGGGGGAGAAAACCCAGCCAATAATAAAAGCTGAAAGCAGATGTTAGGAAGGGAATTACCTTAATGCCATCTTCACCCCTTAACCCAGGGAAACCCTTATCGCCTTTGGCTCCCTAAGAGAAGAGCAAAGTGAAAAGATCAGAAGACACTCTGATAATCAATTTCTTCTGTAGCAAGCAAAATGCTTTAAACTCCTTTCCGGGGGGAAAAAAAGGGGGTGCTCAGATGACTCTCTCCACCGAGAGGTGTAACAGTTAAAAATGCATGCGTACTCAGTCGCCCAGTTGCTTCCGTCTCTGCAACACCATGGACTGTAGCCCACCATGTGTGAGTCTCAAAAACCCATCTTGGTCTAATAGGACTGAATGGGCTGAATAGGACATCTAATAGGACTGAATAGGACATCAATGGGCCAAGTCACATCTTTACCTCAGTACCAGGAAAACCGGGGGCACCATCTTTTCCAGGCTTTCCCTAAAACAAAAACAAAAGAAAAACATGAAGGAAAAACTATTAATTGCAGAACTGACGATGACCTTCTGCCAGGAAAGGCAGAAGCCAGTCAGACTGGGAAGTTAGGGAGGGTCATGGGATTCTCCAGGCAAGAGTTAGACACGACTGAAGCAATTTCGCACACATAACAGTGTTCCATTGTATATATGTATCACATCTTCTTTATCCATTCACCTGTCAATGAACACATGTTGATTCCATGTCCTGGCTAAACTAAGTTAGCCATCCAAGCTTAGAAAGAAAATCAGGGAAGCACTGAGCAGAGAAGTAAGCAGGAAAATTCAGAAAGAGAGAGGCGTTCACAGTCAATGTATTTATTTTTAATGTTGGCAATTCCCTGAACTGTAGATGTGCCTGTATTTAAATATACAAATAAAAGGAATTTCATAGTGTTTCAAGAGACAGAGCTGTTTAACTATTATGGGATTAACTATTATGGCACTTACTTTCCATGATAAAATTAAAAATAATATAGTTGAATATTTGTCTTAGAAAAAATATACTTTTCCCAGCGTATGATTTTTAGAGTTTTTAAACAATGAGAGTGTTGCATGCTGGGTACTATGGGCTAAGTCATTTCAGTCCCGTGCGACTCCTTGTGACTCCATGGACTGCAGCCCGCCAGGCTCCTCTGATCATGGGGATTCTCCAGGCAAGAATACTGGCGTGGGTTGCCATGCCCTCCTCCAGGGGATCTTCCTGGCACAGGGATGAAACTCTCGTCTCATGTCTCCTGTGTTGGCAGGCAGGTTCTTTGCCACTAGCACCACCTGGGAAGCCCCAAGCATCTTGTACTTGCCATCTATAAAGTCCTGAATACCAACTAATTCTGGGCTCCCCGGTGGCCCAGATGGTAAAGAATCCACCTGCAATGTGGAAGATCTGGGTTTGATTAATTTAGGCTGCACATGACACTGGATTCCAAACTCACCTGCGGGCCTGGTTCTCCAGGAGCACCTTTTTCTGATCCATAAGATTCTCCAGGTGGCCCCTGTATTAGTGAGACTTAGGTCAAGTTTTGTAAATTACTGATCTTTGACTTACATCAATTTTTATTAACTTTTCCCTTCTGTTAAAATTTTTGAAATGATAGGTTATCTAAGTGGGACATCTTATTTATGAATATTAAATTAAAAACAGATGTTATAAAATCAGATGCTGAAGATAAATCACAAGATGGGTGACAGAGGGTGCATGTAAAACAGTGCAGGGATTTCAGCTAGAAGTGGCCATAAAATAATTCTAGCATTTATGATCCCTGCAGTAAAATGCTATTGCGCTTTAGCTAATATTAAAGGTTAACTACCTTAAAGGTAGTTCATATGTCAAAATATGCTCTAAGTTTCTACTTTTTGTTTCAAGGGAACAATATGATTCTAAGTGACCTACGGAGGGTCCAGGGGGTCCGGACTGTCCCATGGCTCCCCGGTCTCCCTTCTCTCCCTTGAGGTCCTGCCACAAAAACAAGTTGAGGTCATCAGAAAGAGAGCAAACAAGATATTATTGACTACATTTGGAAAAGTCCTCTAGCTGTCCAATGAACTGGATTTTCAAGTTACATATATGCCTCCTATTAACATAACACATCACCATTTCTCACATTTTGAATTTTATACCTGTGAACCCCCTGAGACAATACACATTTTGTGTGCTGCATTTTATTTTTTGAATTGAGGTATAGTAGATTTACAAATATTATATTAGTTTCAGGTGTACAATGTAGTGATTTAAGATTTTTGTATATTATACTCCATTTATAGTTATTATAAAACACTGGTTATATTCCCTGTGCTATATAATATATCCTTTCTACAGTCTCTTTTTAAAAAAGAAAGGAACTTAGATCAAACTATATTAAACTAATTTAACTCCTGAATCAGTTTTCTATAAGCACAATCAGATCATTTCTAATATATTTTACTCTCATTTTTAATATATTGAAATTATTTTAACTGAGATCAAATATTTTCTGAGTAAATGTTATAATGAGGATTTGAGTCATTAATCAGGTTTGTTTTGGCCTTATCACATTTTATTAATATTTTGTGAAAATATAATTTTCAAAAATAATTTTTTCCCAATGTTAGTACTCTCTTGGGGTATCATTTTTTTAAAAAGTCATTTTTTATCCCCTGGGTCAAACCTCCCAGCTCTTAATGTTCTCAAGATAAGATTTTTTTTAAATCAATTTTTCAGCCAATAAAGCTTTAGATTTTATTAAATTTACTTTTGTTGATTAATTCTGAAAAGTTCAGTTATTTTCCTCAACATTTTTCCAATCTTCAATGAGAGTTATTATTTTGGTCATATAAAATGTCACCATGTTTTAACTTATTAGCTTTGTTTGATAGCTTCTATCATTAAAAATTAATTATATTGAAAAGTGATGGCTAAGTTATTTCTTTTAGGGTGATGAAAATGTTCTAAAATTGCCCACAGTAAGTTGCACAACTCTGTGAATACATTAAAAGCCACTGAATTGCACACTAAATGAGTGAATTATATGTTATGTGAATTATACCTCAATAATGCTATTAAAAATTAATTATAGCTAAAATCCATGAATTCTTTCTTTAAAATGGTGAAAATTAGAGAATGTAAATTATATTGCAATCAAGGTATTATCAAAACAATTAATCATAATTTTTATTTTATTTTTTTTCTTTTACAATTGTAAAAGATGATGCATCTTAATTTCTTTTTTTTTTTCATTTATTTTTACTAGTTGGAGGCTAGTTACTTTACAATATTGTAGTGGGTTTTGTCATACATTGACATGAATTAGCCATGGATTTACATGTATTCCCCATCCCAATCCCCCTCCCCCACCTCCCTGTCTACCCGATCCCTCTGGGTCTTCCCAGTGCACCAGGTCCGAGCATGTGCTGGTGATCAAAACAATTAATCATAATTTTTAAAAAGAGGGATGATTTATGTTTACTTCTTAGTTCGTTGTTTAGTCACTCAGTCTTGTTTGACTCTTTTGGACCCCGTGGACTGCAGCCTGCCAGGCTCTTCTGTCCATGGGGTTTCCCAGGCAAGAATACTGGAGTGGGTTGCCATTTCCTTCTTCAGGGGATCTTCCCAACCCAGGGATTGAACCTTTGTCTGCTGAGTTGGCAGGTAGGTTTTTTTATGCTGCTGGGCCACCTGGGAAGTGGACTTAAGTGACAGAGCTTATAAAAGAGGTAAGGGATCACAAGGGCCTCATGGCAGAGAGGGGAAGGCAGGAGCCTAGTAATAAAACAGAGGAGTTACCGTTCTGTTATCAGGGCCGGTTAGAGTCACAATAACTGTTCCTGGTGGTCCAGGCGGTCCTGTTAATCCTTTCACACCCTAAAGACAAATACACTCAGGAATTAAAAAAAAAAAAACTTAAGCATAAGAGATCTACATTTCCTCTTTAGTCCTTACTTAAAAAATAAAGCAAACAAAACTTGAGACACGGCAAATACTCTGGTTTCAATGTGACTTAATTAATAAAATGTGTATTAGTAAGTCTTTTGTTGTTGGTGGTCAGTTGCTCAGTTGTGTCTGACTCTGTGGCCCCATAAACTGCAGCACTTCAGCCTTCCCTGTCCTTCAGCATCTCCTGGAGTTTGCTTGAACTCAAGTCCATTGAGTCAGATAGTTAGATGCTATCCAACTATCTTATCCTCTGGCATGCCCTTCTCCTCCTACCTTCAATCTTTCCCAGCATCTGGCTCTTTGCATCAGGGAGCCAAAGTGCTGGAGCTTAAGTTTCAGTAAGAGTCCTTCCAATGAATATTCAGAGCTGATCTCCTTTAGGATGGACTGGTTTGATCTCCTTGCAGTCCAAGGGACTCTTGAGTCCTCTACAAAACCAGCTGGAAAGCATCAGTTCTTTGGAGCTCAGCCTTCTTTATGGTCCAACTTTCACAGGCATACATGACTACTGGAAAAACCATACCTTTGCCTATATGGACCTTTGTTGGCAAGATAATGTCTCTGCTTTTTAATACACTGTTTAGATTTGTTATAGCTTTTTCCGAGGAGCAAGTGTCTTTTAATTTCATGGATGCAGTCACCATCCACAGTGCTTTTTGAGCCCAAGAAAAGAAAGTCTGTCACTCTTTCCATTGTTTCCCCATCTATTTGCATGGGACTGGATGCCTTGACCTTCGTTTTTTGAATATTGAGTTTTAAGCCAGCTTTTTCACTCTTCTCTTTCACCTTCATCAAGAGGCTCTTTAGTTCCTCTTTGCCTTCTGCCATATGGGTGGTGTCATCTGCATATCTGAAGTTATTGATATTCCACCTGGCAATCTTGATTCCAGCTTGTGCTTCATCCAGCCTGGCACTTCTCATGGTATACTCTCAGTTCAGTTCAGTTCAGTCACTCAGTCGTGTCTGACTTTTGGTGACCCCATGGACTGCAGCACACCAGCCTTCCCTGTCCACCACCAACTCCCGGAGCTTGCTCAAACTCATGTCCATTGAGTCAGTGAGGCCATCCAACCATCTCATCGTCTGTCATCTCCTTTTCCTCCCATCTTCAATCTTTCCTAGCATCAGGGCCTTTTCCAGTGAGTCAGTTCTTCGCATCATGTGGCCAAAGTTGGAGTTTCAGCTTCAGTCCTTCCAATGAATATTCAGGACTGATTTCCTTTAGGGTGAACTGGTTTGATCTCCCTGCAGTCCAAGGGACTCTCAAGAGTTTTCTCCAACACCACAGTTCAAAAGCATCAAATCTTCAGTGCTCAGCTTTCTTTATAGTCCAACTCTAACATCCATACATGACTACTGGAAAAACCATAGCTTTGACTAGATGGACCTTTGTCAGCAAAGTAATGTCTCTGCTTTTTAATATGCTGTCTAGGTTGGTCATAACTTTTCCTCCAAGGACCAAGCGTCTTTCAATTTCATTTTGGAGTCCCCCAAAATAAAGTCTGTCACTGTTTCCATTGTTTCCTCATCTACTTGCCATGAAGTGATGGGACTGGATGCCATGATCTTAGTTTTCTGAATGTTGACTTCTAAGCCAACTTTTTCACTCTCCTCTTTCACTTTCCTCAAGAAGCTCTTTAGTTCTACTTCACTTTCTGCCATAAGGGTGGTGTCATCTGTGTATCTGAAGTTATTGATATTTCTCCTGGTGATCTTGATTCCAGCTTGTGCTTCATCCAGCCCATAATTTTTAGCCTTGACATACTCCTTTCCCAATCTGGAACCAGTCTGTTGTTCCATGTCTGGTTCTCACTGTTGCTTCTTGATTTACATACAGATTACTCAGGAGGCAGGTAAGGTGATCTGGTATTTCCATCTCTTTAAGAATTTTCCACAGGTTGTTGTGATGGATCACTGTTGAAGGCTTTAGTGTAGTTAGTGAAGCAGAAGTAGATGTCTTTCTGGAATTCTATTGCTTTTTCTATGATCCAGTTGATGCTGGCAATTTGATCTCTGGCTCATCTGCCTTTTCTAAATCCAGCTTGTACATCTGAAAGTTCTCAGTTCACATACTGTTGATGCCTAGCTTAAAGGATTTTGAGTATTACTTTGCTAGCATGTGAAATGAGTGCAATTGTGCAGTAGTTTGAACATTCTTTGGCATTGCCCTTTTTTGGGATTGGAATGAAAACTGACTTTTTTCAGTCCTGTGACTCTACTGAGTTTTCCAAATTTGTTGGCATACTCTTTAAGAGCATCATCTTTTAGGATTTGAAATAGCTCAGCTGGAATTCCATCACCTCTCTAGATTTGCAGTGATGCTTCCTAAGGCCCATTTGACTTCACACTTCATGATGTCTGGCTCTAGGTGAGTGATCACACCTTTGTGGTTATCTGGGTTATTAAGATTTTTTTGTTTTGTTTTTACCTTATCAGAGTATAGCTGATTAACAATGTTGTGAGTTTCAAGTGGACAGCAAAGGAACTCTGCCATATATATATACATGTATCCATTTTTTCCCCAAACTCCCCTCCCATCCAGGCTGCCACATAACATTGAGCAGAATTCTTTGTGCTATACAGTAGGTCCTTGTTGATAACCTTTTTAAATACAGCAGTGTATACATGTCCATCCCAAAGCCCCTAACTATCCCTTTCCCGCATCCTTCTCCTTGGCAATCATAAGTTTCCTCTAAGCCTGTGAGTCTGTTTCTGTTTTGTATACAAGTTCATTTGTATCATTTCTTTTTCGATTCTGCATATAAGGGCATCACCAGATATTTCTCCTTCTCTGTCTGACTCACTTCACTCAGTATGTCAATCTCTAGGTCCATCCATGTTGCCGCATGGATGTAAATGGCATTACAAAATGTGTGGTTTATAAAATATTCTGCCCACAAATAAACCATAGTATATAAATTACCCGCTCTCCTTTCTGTCCTAGCACGTTATCGCCCATGTGACCCTGTAAGAAAAGACAAAACCAAATTATTTTTTTAATGAATACAAATATACAGTCTAAGCCCATTAAAGTTCCAGTGTTTGTAACTGAACACTTACATTTTAATTGTAATGTTAGGATTGTAAAAGTTACTTTATTGCTTGGAGTAGAGTGGCAAAATGTTTCTTTTAAAAGTAGAGATCTTAAAGTGCAGAAAGTTGAAGGGAGTTACTTAAAAAAGCAAGTGATGGCATGAAAGAGTGTGGGGTGGAGGAGGAAGCCCGCTCAGAGGACATTTTTTTTGGCTTAGCCAGCCACCAGCTAGTTTTGAATCTGCTGGCTGGATATGTAACTTCCTGACGCCCTGTTTTCTAGTCTTAAAAATAAGAGGGATGTGTAGCTGCACTTCAGGATTCTGAAATTCAAAACTTAATAGGGAACTAAAAACAGAATTCAAGCTAACCTGACTTCACTAGTAAGTTAGAACATGAGCTAAGTCTAATGTGAATCATCTCTCTTCAGTAAATTTATCATTTCAACCAATGTCTCTTTGTTTCTTTGCTTCTGAGTTTGCAGATTTTCATCCCATTAGGCCACAAGCAGTAGAGAAAAGCTCAGGATGACGAATCAAAAGATTTTAAACTTTAGTTCTGCCAATTACTGTTTGATGATTCACTTAACCTGAACCTGTTCATCTCAGAGAATATGTATGTGTATGTGTGTGTGTATACACCCACACATCAATGAAACAATAAATGTGAAAGCGCCTTGGAAAGTATCCTACACACAAAGGCTTACCTGATAGTAAGAGATACTGTGTTTAATACTAATTTCCTGGTGAGGCTCAGCCCTCTGTCAGCATTTTCTTACTTAAACTAATGAAGATTAGACTATTCGGCCCCAAAATACACCACTTTGGCAGAAGAACTCTTTTTGAGCTGAAGGCATTTGAGAAACAGGGAATGCAGAAACAGTTCTCTCCTCTCCCCCTGGGCCTCAAGGCTGGGCATAGATATCCCCGTGTGAATGTCACCTTCCCCTCTCCTGTACACAGAAGAGAAGACAGCTCATCACGGGAGACAGCACCAACTTAAACCTGCATCAACAAACTTCACTGAAATAACCCTTATCTTCCACTACTTTCCCCCTTATATTTACCTTCCCACAATTTGTTGCCCCTAGAAGCTCACAACCCACTTCCTATGTCTTGATACTTCGCCACAAATGTATCACCCTTTGTTAAAACGGTATACAAGCCTCTGGGTCTGATTGCTTCTTTGGGGTTTTCATTTCATTTCTGTGAGGTCTCCACATGCATATGAAATCAACCTTTTTTCTCCTGTTAACCCAGTCACTGAACCTAAGAAGACAGAAGAAAAAGGTTTTTTTTTTTTTTTTCTTTCTCCCCAATCCTAACAGTTGGCTTTTGTAACAGAAAGACATGCAGGACCCTGTTTAATGAGCACATGAACAGCCATCTTTTAGTTTCTAGTATGAAGACAGGTTGGTTTTGGGAAGCAGCCTAGTACAAAAATGTATAAGATAAAGTACTGGGAGATCGGCAGGACTATGAGAAATGGAAACTTATGGACTAGGAATCCTTGCTATCTTCCCAACAAGGAGCTTCTTATAATTGAATTAAGACTCTTTGTATCAGAGATCAAGTTACTGAAGTGCAGGGAAAAGAGAATAAACAGGTGAACTGTTCATGTCCCCGCTGGGGATTCTCGTTGAGTCCCAAAGAGTAGCCCCAGCAGAGCCCCACATGCGCAATCAGACTCAGTTGGCTTTTAGATTGGTTAGGATGTTCTGGCTGGAACAACATGTAGACTGCAATCTACCTTAGGTCCTGGAGGTCCCATGGCTCCCGGAAAGCCCTAGAAAAATCCATCAGTTAAAATTACAGCAGGTAGTGCACCAAGCCTACAATTCTGTTTAAAATTTTTAAGCTATGATTCTTTTATTAGTTATGATGTCTATTGCAATGGTGGCTTCATACTCACAAGGAATCCTGGAGGGCCAAGTGGACCCGCAGGTCCAGGAAAACCTGGAAGGCCTGGCAAACCCTTTAAATGAAGAGAAGAATTAGAGTAAATTTAAATTTACTTCTTACTGAAGAACAATGTCCATTAGTTAAATGCCTTAAATTATTTTAGTAAAATCAGGGCATAATGTTTCCCATTTATGCTTGCAGTTAATTTCAGAAAAGGCCATGTTCCATGTATAACTACCAGGACTATCTTGGTGATACTATCTTGGAGGTACCACCATCCTGGTGGTACTATTTTCAGAAAAATGACCAAAGCATTTGCTTTACTTTAGAAGACTTTTAAGATTTTTAGAAAAATTTCCTCTCCCTGCCTCTCTCTCTGTCTCTCTCTCTGTCTCTCGCCAAGCATGCTCCTACCTCTGGATCCTTCCACCTGCTTTCCCTCTGCCTAGAATCCTCTTTCCCCAAATGTCTATCTCTATGACTCACTTCTGCTCCCTTTTCTTGTCTTTACTCAAACATAATCCTTTCCACAGGCCTTCCTGCACATCCAATCTAAAGCCACAGTACTCCTTCTAACCTAGACACTTCCTATCCTCAACCCAACATTAATTTTTCTCCTCAGCATTTATTACTATCTAACACAACACACATGGATGTGAGAGTTGAACTATAAAGAAACCTGAGCACCGAAGAATTGATGCTTTTGAACTGTGGTGTTGGAGAAGACTCTTGAGAGTCCCTTGGACTGCAAGGAGATCCAACCAGTTCATCCTACAGGAGATCAGTCCTGGGTGTTCACTGGAAGGACTGATGTTGAAGCTGAAACTCCAATACTTTGGCCACCTCATGTGAAGAGCTGACCCATTGGAAAAGACCCTGATGCTGGGAAAGATTGAGGGCAGGAGGAGAAGGGGACAACAGAGAATGAGATGGTTGGATGGCATCACCAACATGGGTTTGGGTGGACTCCGGGAGTTGGTGATGGACAGGGAGGCCTGGCATGCTGCGATTCATGGGGTCGCAAGGAGTCGGATACGACTAAGCAACTGAACTGAACACAACACATAGGTAGTAATTTACATTTTGAAATATTTTCTCCTTCTAAAAGGCATGTGCCAGGAGGGCAAGGATTTTAGTTAAACTGTTTTGGGGGATTTGTGCACTATGGTATCCCAGAGCCTAAATAGCTCCTGGTACCTAACTGGCAGGCTGATGGTAAGGGGGATTTCTTGTAGAATTGAAGGTCCTATTCTGTACCTTCAGCAGTAGCACATTGTAGTACATTGCCAATGCTCAATACACATTTAAGGGATACATCGTGTCCCAGATTGCTACTGTCTCCTCTTACTAGATTCCCCGCCCTCAGCATCTGACACTTTAACGCTTCCTAAGCAAACAAGAAACAAACCAGGAGCCATCGATTTTTGTGTCTTTTCTCAAAAGCCTATGACCAGGCTTCCCTGGTGGTCCAGTGGTTAAGAGCCCATCTTGCAGTGCAGGAGACACCAGTTTGATCCATGATCTGAGAAGATCCCACACGCCACAGGGCAAATAAGCCCTCGAGCCGCAACCACTAAGCCTGTGTGCGTAATTGCTGAAGCGCACACACCTCGAACCTGTGCGCCTCATCAAGAGAAGTCACTGCACTGATAAGCCTGCACACCGCAGCTAGAAAAAGCTTGAGAGCAGCAACAAAGACCCAGCACAGTCGCAAATAAGTAAATAAATAAAATTCTCTGATGGCTTCTAATTGCATCACTGTTCAGTTTTGTATCACTAGCTGGCATGGCTCACTAGATGGATGTTCAACAACCTCAACTCAAACTCTTTGACTTGCTCAGGCAAATACCAATCTCTACCGAGGAATTTTCACATATATTCCCGAATTAAGATATTTCTTTTTTTTCTATTGTTCTTCTTTATTTTTTTTCTCTTTTTTTTCCATTTATTTTTATTAGTTGGAGGCTAATTACTTTACAATATTGTAGTGGTTTTTGTCATACATTGACATGAATCAGCCATGNCATTTATTGCTTGTAGACTTTTGGATAGCAGCCATCCTGACTGGCGTGTAATGGTACCTCATTGTGGTTTTGATTTGCATTTCTCTGATAATGAGTGATGTTAAAAATATGGAATGCTTCACGAATTTGCGTGTCATCCTTGCACAGGGGCCATGCTAATCTTCTCTGTATCGTTCCAATTTTAGTATATGTGCTGCCGAAGCGAAGCGAGCACTAAGATATTTCTAATTAATCTGAAAGTTAGTATCAAAAGACTCCTTTGAAACATGAAGTCAAGGATATTCAGCCAAACAGCTGTTTCTTTGTATATATTCTGGATCACCCTCAGGCTACAAACACAGATTTCAGAAAGCAAACTATTCAGCAGGAGAAAGATGCATTTAAATAAAATATCACTATCATGCATACTTTACAACAGGACTGTTATTTAATATTACAGTTTTAAATTGCATTCCATGTGGGATACAAACCTATCCTGGATTTTGACAAATACTAAGAGGAACATAACCATTCCTTGAAATCTCCTCCTTAGATTGAAGAAAGCTTGGGTGATTGAGACTTGAGAAGAGACTAAAATACATATGTACAAAAGCATCTTTTTTATACGAGCTTAATGTAGTTTCTTATAATGAGGTGAAAGTTTTAGAATAAAATGAAATATATAAATAGGAGAAACATGAATGTGAAAAATATTTTTAAGAGGGTGAGAAAGATATAGGGAGAGGAAGAGAGAGAGAAAGAAGAGAAAAAAAGAGGTGGAAAGAGACACAGAGAGAGAGAGATGGAGAATGATAGAGACCTTCTCTGAAGTGTGTACCTGGAATCCAGGAGCTCCTGGCAACCCAGGGTCACCTTTTCCATCAAGGCCTACACCTTCTGCTTCAGCAGGAGTGCCCTTGAAAAGGAAATGCATCAAACATCAGCAGCATTTTATCTTCAAAACATCTTTAAATGATTATTCAAGGTCATACTGTTTCAAGGATAAAAGCGCTTCCAGGATATATACTTAGAGAAATGCTATAGGATTTTTTAGTTATTTTGTTTTGAAGAATTCAAAGCATTTTCATGTTTTCTAAAATTGACCACTGACTATAGAGGGAAGACACGAGAATCATAGACCATTTCCCAAGACACCAAAATGAGTGGCACTTCCTGATCTAGAATCTGGAGCCCTGATCATAAGATCAGTTCTCCTTTCCCAGACCTTATTTTCCGAAAGGATGATACAAAGCTTGTATTCCTTAAGACATATTTATGGCAAGAAGTAGAAGACGCTCATTAGGAATAAATATCATTTCTGAATTAATCATGAAATCTGACTTGCAACGACATATCTTAATAGATGTGCCTTTCCTGTGTACAATTAGGGATTTTTCAACAATAACATGCCACAAATCACTTACCTTTTCTCCTTTCAAACCAGCGACACCCTAGAGAAAAGAGCATAATATTAAAAACTAGAGGCAAACCAAATACAGACCATCCCTGCTTTGTCCTTCTCTCTGCCATTCTGCCTTCTCTTCCCGCTGCAAGCTTCCTGGCGGCTTTTACAGTTGCTCAAGTCTTTCTCATTTAAACAAAGTGTGTGTCAGTTGCTCAGTCGAGAGACACCATGGACTGTAGTCATCAGGCTCCTCTGCCCATGGAATTCTCCAAGAAAGAACACTGGAGTGGGTAGCCTTTCCCTTCTCCAGAGGATCTTCCTGACCCAGGGATTGAACCTGGGTCTCTCACACTGCAGGCAGATTCTTTACCATCTGAGCCACCAGGGAAACCAGTCTCCCCCTGAATACACTGCCTCCTCCTGTCTTATCTATCCTTCCTGTCATCTACAAATTACTCACTTTGTTCATCCGCACTTTTTCCTTAGGCCCATATCTGCCTCCTGCCTCCATCTGTCATGGAAATGTTTTTGTTCCATTGCCCAGCTGTGTCCAACTCTTTGTGAATTCCATGGACTGCAGCACACCAGGCTGCTAAAGTCTGCATTGACTTTGATGTTATAGTCTTACTGAACTTCTCAACAGCACTAAGAAGCTGTCTGTTACTTGCCTTAACTGAAATTTGTTCAAACGGAGATGAGTCCAAAATGGAATCACTCCTGTCAGGTCCAGTGCAGTAAACCAAGAATTAATACCTGCCTTGACTGGTTTTAACCTTCTCCAGGAATGTGACCTTTGACTGACCAACCTGAAGCTTCCTGGTCAGCACTAATAAGATACTCTGCCCAATAGCCCCTTCTGTTCCCCTTAACAGGCTACCTTGTCTAAGACAGTGCCTTCTTTGTTAATAAAACAATACATTCTTTGCTAAGAATGTCATATTTTCATTCTCTCTCTGACTTTAAAATCCTTTGCTCTCTATGGCTGGAGGCAACTCTTTCCTTGCTGGCTAGGAGGCAGCTGGGTTTGTGAGTCATCCAATAAGGCCAATTAGATGGTCAGATTTACTCAGCTGAATTTTTGTTATTTAACAATATCTGGAAGCCAATTCCTGGGCTTCCAGGATATACCCCTCTTGCTTTTCTTCTGCTTCCAGGGCCCTTCTTCCCTTACAGGCTCATTGCCCTTGACCTCCCTTCACATGCTGTCTAAGCCCCACTTTCAAGGCCCTTCTCTCCTCTCTTCCATCCTTGAGTCACCACCACCCACCCAGGTGTCTCCCACTGTCTATCTCAGAGCTCTACTTCAGTGTCTCAAAAGCAAAACAAAGTCTCAAAGTGCAAACCCCAGTGCATCTATTCATTCCGCTCTCAACTACCGGGCTCCCCAGGTACTCAGGGGTAAAGGATCTGCCTGCCAATGGAGGAGACGCAAGAGACGTGGGTTCAGTCCCTGGGTCGGGAAGATCCCCGGGAGGAGGGCATGGCCACCCACTCCTGTATTCTTGCCTGTGCAATCCCATGGACAGAGGAGCCTGGTGGGGCTGCGAAGAGTAGTCAAATGTCTACTGTTGACTGACCTCACTTTCCCCAAGGTCATGACAGATTTCTGTATATGATCATTTCAAAGGACAATCCTTGTACATCACGTCTTGGATGGGGAGTTAGAAACATGAACCTACCGGCATCCCTGGGTAGCCTGGTGTCCCCCGAAGTCCTGGGAACCCTGGCTCTCCCTGGAAGACACATGATGCTTGTCATTCTTCTTAGTTGTTCTAGAACAGCCTATTGTGATATTTCCCCTGTTCCTTGCTTCCAACCCTGCAGCAGTAAATTCAGACAAAGTAACCCAAATTCCTCACAGCTACTGGATCATGAGGCTAAAGACTAGAAAACCATTATCTTAATTGAAAACAGGATTAGAATCTACTGTTTCTCAAATTGTGCATAAATGGCAAAAGGATAATTGTGCCAAGAACTTTTTAATGGCTGCTTCCTTGAAATTTTTGTAATTAGTCCTTTCATGGCCACCATCCTGGGGAAAAAGCAGAGTGCAGTCAGGAGACAAAGGAGATGAGTGCACATTGAAAAGCTCAGTCTTTGTTTTCCAGAAGCCAACTTTGCATTCTAAGCTTTAGTTTCCGGTTTATATTCAATCACAACCTCAGATGCAAATATCTGTTTAAGCCCTAGTCACCTTCCTGTGGGAGAACATGAGAGAACTTCCTTAAAACATAATCTGAAAGCAAGGTGGGTGGAGGGAGGGGGGATTGGGTGCAGGCAGTCAAATGGTACTCCAAACTCCCAGCTATAAGATAAATAGTCCTAGGATACAATGTAAATGTGAGAAATCTAATTAACATTGTTAATTTTTAAATGTTAAGAGAATAAAGCCTAAGAATTAACACACACACAAAATTTTTTCCTTCTTTAATTTTGTATCTATAAGAGATGGTGAGCTCATTAAACTTGTGATGATAATCATTTCATGATGTATGTAAGTTATTATGCTGCACACCCTGAACTGAGGTAGTTCTATGTGTCAATTATATCTCAGTAAAGCTGGAAGAATAAAGAAAAAAGCATGAAAAGAAAGAAAATCATCACCTTTCTGTCCTGAAGACACACACCACTGCTTCTGGCCAAAACAACATTTCAAGGAAAGGCTAGGCCATCTCATTGCTATGTCACCCAGGTTTATTCATTTACCAAAACACGAACTAACCATCTCCTGTGTGAGAAGATACATACCTTGGAACCATTGCATCCTGGCAAACCAGCAAGTCCATAAGGTCCAGGATGGCCCGGGATGCCCTAAAAAACAGAGAAAGTCTCAGAAAGAAAAGATATTCAGGCTCTGGGCCAGGTAGAAACAGTGCAGAGCACACAGTGGGAAAAGATGGGCTAATTTAGGTAGTTATTTAAGTATAAATGGTTATTTAAATAGTTAAGTAGTAAACTGGTTATTTTAGATAATTTAAATTAAAATCATAGGAAATAACATAGCCTAATTAAAACCATAAATTATCAAGTGAGGTATATTATTTAAGATAAAGCAAAAGGTCTTTCTATACAAAATGAGTCCATTAACACGCTGTATTAAGCTGGAAGAAAGGAGAAGAGGGAAGTGTGCACAGTGTAACTATTTGATTATTTTTATCCTGTGCTATTAAGTAGATTTATCCTATTCTATTCTAATCTGTCTCATCCCATCCCATCCCACCCCAATCTATTCCATTCTATTCTGCTTACATTTCAGAAAATACAATTTGACTTGATATCCTATAAATCCACATTCTTAATACACTATAATTCTGACATTTTGATCATGTAGCCAAAACATCATACTCATTTTCTTGTGTTAGTGATTTAACATCTTTATTAAAATGAGCTTACTTATTATTCCATTTACACATGTTCTCACTACTTACTGGAAGTCCAGGAGAACCTGAAAATCCTGGTAATCCAGTTATTCCCTAAAGACATAGAAAAGAAGAAAGACGGTAAGAAAAAAACTAAAAATGTTCAACCTGTAAATAAAACATGATTTATCATTCCTAAACCTCCATCCTGTAACTATAATTGGGAACAGCTAAAAGCGATTTGAAACACACAAAAAAGCTTGACAAACTTTGTAAATCTAACATTTACATAACTTTTCAAAAGACACGATTAAGATCATTTTTGGCTTTTTGGGGGGATAGATTTTTTTAAGGCATAATTTGCATAAAGTGCCCCAATCTTCCACAAACAGACTGAGGAATATTTACCTGTGTACATATGCATGTTTTGGTGATTCCCACCCAACCAAACACAGAACCTCTCCACTAGCCCAGATGGTACCCTTATGCAACTTCCCAGTCGATTAATACCTACCCCCAAGTGAGTAACCACTATGTAGACTTCTACCATTATAGACCGCTTTTACCTGCCCTTGAACGTCATCTACAGAAGCGGGTCACACACAACCTACTCCTTTGTGACATCTGTATAACTTTTACAGTGCTGGGGTTCTTTTCACTTTTTTAAAACAAGATTTTTCATCAAACAAGCGGGATAGACTGGGTGGACTACTAACCCTCACGCCTTTGGCACCAGTCAGTCCTGGAGATCCTGGAGAGCCCTAGATCCAAATGCAAAAAACAAAAGGTAAGCCCTGTGACAATTACTTGGCACTAATAAGCCCATACATGAAAGGTCCTAGTTTTATTCACACGCCACACAGTTTTGCTCTTGCGATTATTTCATTGTTAACACGGTTCAATTGCTTGCTTGTTTCATTGGCGCTATAGTTATTTATCCGAAACGACAAACAGAAATCCATTCATACCCCTGCTACTCAAGGTGGGGGGTCCAACAGTAGCATCATCTGGGAGCTTGTTAGAAATGCACCATCCTGGGTCTCCCCCACCTCCCAGACCTATTGATTCAGAATTTGCATTTCAACAAGATTTGATGATGATTCTTGCTCACATTAGTGTCTGAGAAGGGCTGCGGGAAAAGCCCCACATTAGCCAGACAGCTGCCATGGGCTGATAAGGATGAACGGCACAATTACAACGGCGGCCGAGAATGGCAGGCAATATTTCTGTGCATGAGAACTACTTTATTAACAAAATGTGCCTGGAGGGAACAAATAAATAAACAGCAAACCGAGAACTGCCTGAACCAGAGATAAACTTGCTTTAAAACACACAGTGAATACACGTGGAGGTTCTGTTTCTTAGAGAAGAGCCCCAAACAAAACGGTTTTAACAAGACCACTTGGTGTGAAAGTTCCATTGTCGTCCAAAAGTTTTTCTTCATTCCTGAGAGTTTCAGTATGTTTTGGTATTTCTGATTATTTGAGGACAGGGTTGTTACAGAGACTTCTGAGACGGGACCGTCAAGGCCAAAGTCAGTCTTTCTTGTCTGGAGTGGAATTCCTAGGTGCATGACCACGAACCCCTCCCCTGCCAGGGGCTGTCTGTAATCTGCAGATGCCAGAAGCATGACTTGCAGGTTTCACTTCGCCATTATAAACTGTCTCATATAGGAAATATTCAGACTGAAGACCTTTATAAACCTGCAACACCTTTTAATCAGGTTTTAATATTCTCTGATTGTCTGCCTTGGGCTAAATTATCATTATGGCTATATCTTTAAGCTATGGGTTTCCCAGGTGGAGCAGTGGTAAAGAATCTGCCTGTCAATGCAAGAGACTCAAGAGATGTAGGTTCAATCCCTGGGTTGGGAAGATCCCCTGGAGTAGGAAACGGCAACCCACTCCAGTATTCTTGCCAGGAAAATCCTGCGGACAGAGGAGCCTAGCGGGCTACAATTCACGGGGTCAGAAAGAGTCAGATGTGACTGAGCACAGCATAGAACACAACACAGCAGCTCTAAGCTATAGTTTACTATATCAATTTTCTGGATGAATGTTATGGAATACCTACACATCATGTAACCCACACAAAGCACCATGTGTTTACAACTGTAATTTTAATTCATTACTGACTTCTCTAAAGAAAAGCTAAGGAAACCAGCAGAGTGGAGTGAAAGGAACAAAACAAAAAGGAGAGAGTTAGCATTAGGCTGATCTTAAATCCAGTGCTGAAGTGACAAATTCCCCTCCAGGGAAAAGAAGGGAAATCTGAGACCAACGCCCTGAAGGAATGTAGCAGAATGTTCAGACACTAAACATGTCTGAAACCAGACACTAAATATGCAGAATATAAAGGACTTTTTTCATATTAGGATTAGAGAAAGGAGAAATGAAGAAACAGAACACATACATGAATACAGTAAAGTAGAATGCCTGGAAAACAGTACATCTTGCAGCTGTGGGAGTGAGTTTAATTTCTTTGGCTGAAGGAATTTGATTCTGGCATCATATAATCCTGGATTTGAACTCTGATTTTACCACCTATTAGCTGTCTAACCCAGGACAAGTTGCTTCATGCTCTGAGTGTCAGTTTCCTCATCTCTAAGATGAAGATAATAATATGTCACCATCGTCACGACCAATGAGATTAATGTGAGGAGTAAAAGAAATCCAGTCAAGAAGAAATGCCCCAATGCCTGACTCGGAATAGGGGAAACACAGATTAACACCTCCCACAGTAGCCAGGCACCGTGGTGATCATTTGTGTGTTATTTTACGACAGGAGGGACTGGTAAGGAACATGGAACTAATAAGCTACCGCCAACCGAAAGGTTTGGGAAAGGTCAAAAGGAGCCGCCACATATCCTGCCGCTTCCCAGAATCCTCCTCGCTGGAATCCATCTTGGCTGAGCGATGCCTGTGCCACCAGGAAGGACCCTGAGTCAGAATGACTGGCCAGAGACAACCTGGAAGCTAACCCCATCACCATAAAACCTGAGGCTGCAAGCCACATGGCAGAGCAGTTCTCCTTGGTTCCCTCACCCAACTGCTCTCCACCCGGGCGCCTCTTCCCAGTAAAGTCTCTTGCTTTGTCAACTCGTGTGTTTCCTCAGACAATTTATTTCCGAGTGTTAGACAAGAGCCATGGGAGGGTCCCCTTCTGGCAACAAATTCACATAAAATGTTACCTAAATATTCTGTAACATTACTTTGGAAATTTAAAAAAGATTTAAAATTATAATTTAAAAATTATAATCACCCTCCACAACTTATTAGTTAGTTCATAGCTTCCGGGAAGCCAGCAGGCAGGGGAGTGACCCAGAGGGTGCGTGAGAGCCCAGGCTTGAGTCCAGGCTTAATTCCACAGCAGAAAAGAGCTATCAGCAAATCTAGTGGTTATGCAGTTATTTAGCAAATCCTCTAGGGCATTTATTTAGACAAAGCCCTTTGTTGTATCACAGACTTTAGGATAAAAATGTGTGATGAGTGTGAAGGGTGGTGGGCTCTGGTAAGAACCTTAGGAGGCCTGACACTGAAGAACCCAGCTGAGAAACAGGAACCCAGGAAAGAAGGAAAGCATTGGGGAGGGGAGAGAGGAGAAAGGAGGATTCCAGAAACAAAGGCCTGTGTTTCAAGGAGAAAAGAGGGAGCCACACAGCTGGAAACAAAGCAGAGGTGTCCAGGTCAGACAAAGACACAGAGTATTCTCCATGGACCTTTTGGGGGTCGAGGGCAAAGTGGAGGTCACGGGTTTTCCGGGAGGGAGCAGAAGGCAAACTGTTGCTGGCTAAGGAATGAATGGGAGATGAACCACAGTGTGGCTGGATTTTTTTTTTTTTTAAAGAAGTCTGACTGAGATAGGAAAGACAGAGAAAGGATGGCAGTCCTTGGATTACAGTGCTGGAAAGATCCAGAGGAAGTTATATGCTGGTATGGGTTTTGCTTAAAGATGGAAAGAGAAAAACCAAGTTGAAATATCTGAGAAAGAGGACACACCATCAGAATGTGATTCTATTGGAAATCCCAGTGACCAGGATACAGGTAGAGGACAGAGCTTGAATGGAGGCAAAAAAAAAAAAAACCCTCACGAGGGGCCAATGCAGGTGTTCAGTTCAGTTTGGTCGCTCAGCCGTGTCCGACTCTTTGCGACCCCATGGACCGCAGCACAGAGTCTTAGCCACTGGATCATCAGGGAAGTTTCTTGAGTTTTACTTTAAGCAGGTTTATCAGTTCAGTTCAGTCGCACAGTCATGCCTGACTCCTTGCCACCCCGTGGACTGTAGCACACCAGGCCTCCCTGTCCATCACCAACTCCCGGAGTTGACCCAAACTCATGTCCACTCAGTTGGTGATGCCATCCAACCATCTTATCCTCTGTTGCCCCCTTCTTCTCCTGCCTTCAGCCTTTCCCAGCATCAGGATCTCTTCAAATAAGTCAGCTCTTCGATGCAGGTGTGGAGACCCCTAAGTCAGGAAGTGGGAGAACACAGAGCTAAGGACTGAAAGTTACTGATAGTCTTTTCTTTTCTTTTTGTTCATTAGAGTATAATTGCTTTGAATTGTGGTGCTGGAGAAGATTCTTGAGAGTCCCTTGGACTCCAAGGAGACCAAACCAGTCCATCCTAAAGGAAATCAGTCCTGAATATTCCTTTGAATTGTGGTGCTGGAGAAGATTCTTGAGAGTCCCTTGGACTCCAAGGAGACCAAACCAGTCCATCCTAAAGGAAATCAGTCCTGAATATTCATTGGAAGGACTGATACTAAAGCTGAAGCTCCAATACTTTGGCCACGTGATGTGAAGAACCAACTCACTGGAAAAGACCCTGATGCTGGGGAAGATTGAAGGTGGGAGGAGAAGGGGACGACAGAGGATGAGATGGTTGGATGGCATCACTGACTCAATGGACATGAACTTGAGGAAACTCCAGGACATAGTGACAGGCAGGGAAGACTGGTGTGCTGCAGTCCATGGGGTCTCAAAGAGTCTGAGACAAACTTGCGGCTGAAAAACAATATAATTGCTTTACAATATTGTGTTAGCGTCTACTGAACAGCAACGTGAATTAGCTATATGTATACACACAGCCCCTCCTTCGTGGACCTTGCGCCCACCACCACCCCATCCCATCCCTCTAGATCAGCAGAGGGCTGAGCTGAGCTCCCTGTGCTATATACAGCAGCTTCCTAGCTGCTAGATAGCTAATTTACACATCTTAGTATAAATACATTGATATATATATACACTTCCATTTGTAAAATAGATAGCTTGAAATAAGAAGCAGTTCTTAGGGCCCAGCTAAGACTGGAGCAGGAATTTACCACGGCATCCATCGTCATAAAGAAGCTTAAGCGGACTGGGGATTTTCCAAACTCACAGGCTAACATACCTTGGGTCCCTGTGGTCCAGGCAGGCCTTCGGGACCCGGGTAACCCTTCTGGCCGGGAGGCCCAGGGGGTCCTGGGAAGCCTTTCTCCCCCTGTAAGACCAAAACAATACACACACAGAATAGCAATGCCCAGGAGTAAACATAACCATCAGTTTCTTTTCTTTATGATATAATGATAACATTTTGCACATTTTTCCCTTGGATTAAAAAAAAAAATAGCACTCAACACTAAGTGTAATAGCAACTGGAATGTTTCTGTTAGTATTTGTCTGTAGGCTTGAAAGCACTTGTCTTTGGTCTCCTGGAAACTCGACTTTTACCCAAATGGCAGAGCTACACGGAGCAGAGATTCAGGGAATTAACAACTGAGAGGGAAAGCCCAGTTAGAAAGAAGGAGTTTGGGGAAGGGTGTTTTTGGGGGATGGAGAGAGAGTGACAATCAGGTTCAGGAATGTCTTGGGAGTGTGCATAATTGCTATGTAGCTCGAAAGAACAACACACAGGCTATGAGTTTCAGTCCTCTCTTGATTACAAAGGAATTAGTAATTCAATCTGCTATTTGTGGAGGAGATGCAGGCGAGATATCAAGAGTGGCAAAACCAAAAGTGTGAGCTACATAGTTAAGGGATGATAATATGAGAAAGCCCTTAGGGGTTAGGGAGTAATTTTAGGCCCAGTAAGGGACATGTCTCTGCCAACAAATAACCTTCCAGCGAACACAGATCCTGGGATTACTCTTCAACAGTTAAGACCACTGGTTTGATTCAGATAATCTAGCAGACAAATGGAAACTTAGATTTTTAAAACAGAGCAAGTCAGCTATTTCACATGATGTGTGTGCACACACACCCAATAAAAAGAGAAGCAGAAGAATTTGCTAGGCCCCTCTCAAGACTGTTACCTTCACACTTTGAACAGCATCTCACCCAGAGGAGGGATTCAATAAATGCTGCTTGAATGAGAGAATGAGTCATAGCTTTTCAACACAGATCTGAACATACCACTTTCACAGCTTCAGGAAAAACCCTAAATCAAACTACATGAATCATAGAATACTTTAAATATGGTAATTTTTATTGTAATTAACGTGCAAATTATTTTGTCTAAAGAGCTTAAAATGCATTCTTTTAAAAAATATTTTTAAGCAGTCATCTTTCAATATTGTTAAGCAATTCATTAGTGTATCTGAGAAAAGGGTTTTGTAAACAAAGGAAAAATTTTAGTTCTGGCTCCGTCTTAATTATCACAAATTGAAAGTTAATGGAGCGAATTAATGAGATTTCACGGCACTCATTTTTTACTCCAATTCTGCAATGGAGCTACTTTGTCTCGCTGAATTTTTGCCTCGAGAGAGGGCTTGTGCAAGATTCTTCCACCAGAGGGCGCCCTTACACCAATGCTGCAGGACAAAATCTGCGGGTTTCGTTTGTGTCCAAGTGAGTCCGTCAGGCTGTTTTCAATTCTCTCGGCTTCAGCAACAGTGTAAATAGGGGATACATACGGATCATTCTCAAAAACTTTCTTTCTCTTTAACTTAATATTTTTTGTTTCCAGATCGAGAGAGTTACAGTAATTGCCCTCATTTATACCAGTTATCTGAAGCTCCCCTCCAAGGCTTTTCCATCATGCCAAGTTAATATTTATATACAATTACTTTAAAATTGTTTGGGGGAAAGGACTTCTCTGACTGTTAACACCAGTGGTTAACACTTCACCTTCCAATGCAGGGAGTGCAGGTTTAATCCCTGGTCAGCGAGCTAAGTCCCCACATGCCTCCTGGCCAAAAAACCAAAATATAAAACAGAAGCAATATTGCAACAAATTCAATAAAGAAAAAAAAATGGATTTGGGGAATGGAATCTGGTACTGCTGATCTGTCTGCTACGAATGAAGGAAGAGTGTGAATCGTTAATGAGCTCTATGGAGAGAAGGAGCAGAATGAAGGTTTTGTTTCTACCTTCTCCCCTTTGGCCCCATCACAGAAGCACTGGCCTTTGTCTTTACAGATGCAGCCCTAGGAAGAGAGAAAGAGAAAGGGTTTTGTTTAAAAACGGCTTAATAAATTCCAACTGACAGAACAAAAGCAAACATATTTTTCTGTTCTCTGAGCATCAAACACCATTTAGCAGGAGTCCTGTGATACCGTAGCAATTTATCAATAGAAGCAGAGTAGAGAAGTGAGATATACACAGAACTGTCAGATAACTGTACATCATTTTTATTGTATTTAGGAATTTCAAGTGATTTACTCATGGAAAAGACCAAGTCAGCTCTCCTTTTTTTCAGAACAATATATAGTTGAATCATATGAAATTGCCATTGTTGAAGGGAGAAAGTGGTCTCATATTTGCAGATTTCTTGGTTCAACAAAGTGAACATAGTTGAATTTATATATATTAACTGGTGATATCTTCTGTAGATAATTCTATAGTTTTCTTTTCCTGAAATAATGTTTAAGACTGAAAAAGGATGATCACTATCCACCATGTATTTTCAAGAACAAGCTAATTCACTGATGCTGATATCAAAATGCTCTTTCTTATTAAAAAAAAAAAAATTGAGCTGTGACCTTGGGAACTCACACATCTAAATGGTCACTTAGACCCACTTACAACCTAGCTTTCACATCTATGCTCATGCCAACTCTAATGAAGGTATTTTTATTTATTTATTTTATGAAGGTCAGTTTTTATTTATTATTTTATGAAGGCCAGTTTTTAAATTCCTCACTGCTGGCAGAGGAAGAAAGAGAGAAATAGTTTTAAATAGTGAATTTAAACATTTTGGACACACATTCTATGGTTATATATTTATCTTTGTTTTGGACACACATTCTATGGTTATATATTTATCTTTTTTGGGGGCGGGGTGTGTTAATATTAACTGAAAATTAGTTTATTTTCCCCAGGAAAAAAATCTTAATTGACAACAGAGGCAGAGCAAGCCTAGGAGATGTGCTGGCTGGTAGGAAAAATAGAAAGAAATTGCCTCAAATAGTCTCAGAGTGAGGACTCTGTGCAATCAAAATAAAAAGACATAGGGAATTCCCTGGTGGGCCAGTGGTTATGGCTGTGAGCTTCCACTGCTGGGGCACGAGTTCCATCTCTGGTCAAGGAACTAAGATCACACACGCTGCCTGGTACGGCCAAAAAAATAAATAATTAAAAAAAAAATGTAAGCACACAAACAAAAAAATTTAAATTGAATCTATTTTCTAATCCCAGGGCAGTAGGCTATGTTGTTACTCAAGAAAGGGGAGACCATAGTCATTTTCATACACTCATCATTGATTCTCACATTTTTACCCATCACAATTTCTATCAACGAAAAATAAATAATTGAAAATGAAGGTCTATATTTCCCCCCAAGGGTTAGCTATTTGGCATTCTTTAAAAAGACTAAATTTTTCCACTTTTCCTCCCAGATGCTGGGGGTCATTAGGTTATATCTAGCTTAATTATTTTAATCTTTTTTTCTGGGTTTTGAAACCTTAGTGTTCATTTCAATCACATATTTAAGTATACTAAAATATATACCAAATCTAGTATGCTAATTTAGTATACTTTCCCTGGTGGCCCAAAAGGGTAAAAGCATCTGCCTACAATGCGGGAGATCCCTGGGTTGGGAAGATCCCCTGGAGAAGGATATGGCAACCCACTCCAGTATTCTAGCCTGGGAAATCCCATGGACAGAGGACGCTGGCGGGCTACAGTCCTCAGGGTCATAAAGAGTTGGACAGGACTTATTGACTGAACAACAATACTAACATTTATTAAAGTCCTTGTTCTCAAAGTATGGATCTTCAGAGTAGTATCAGCAGAATCTGGAAACCTATCAGAAATGCAAATTCTTGGCCTCACTCCAGACTCACAGAATCAATAACTCTTGTGTTGGTTGCAGTAATCTATAATAGGCCCCCTGGGTGACTCTGATACTACCAGTCTAAACCAATATCTACAAGCCCAGTCCATAGCGTAGAGCTAATTCTTTAAAGATTTCTGAACACTTGGACCCTAGTCTGCACATCCACTTTTTGTTTGTGATGCCATTTTCCCTCTCAATCCAAGAAGGCAGCCAGGCTTTAGAGAGGCTTTCATCACTGGGCTGAAAGCAAAAGCTGCCTGAAGGTAAGATTTTTCCTGGCTTTTGTTTCTGGAGTGCAGGGACCCATTGATGGTTGGCCCCAAGAATGGAGGGACCACCAAGCTGTTCCTCCAAAGTGTCTGGAGGAGGCAGTAGGGCCTCAGAAGAGGAAAGTCTGAGTCCTACACCCAAGGGAACCAGATACTGGGGCAGGGAAACTCAACCCCACGAGGACCTGGTGCTCTAGTTTACACAGAGGTGGTGGCCACTGTTTCATGTAGATCCTGAGCCTCTGACTCTTCTGCCTCTCAGACATCACACAAGACCTGTATTTGGAGCATCTCTGGACCACAGGTAGGAGGAGGCAAACTGGCAATCCTCTAACTCCTAAAAAGGTGCATGTTGTTGTTCAGTTGCTAAGTCATTTCCAACTCTTAGCAGCCTCATGGACTGCAGCATGCCAGGCCTCCCTGTCCATCACCAACTTCCAGAGTTTGCTCAAACTCATCTCCATGGAGTCAATAATACCATCCAACCATCTCATCCTCTGTCATCCCCTTCTCCTCATGCCCTCAATCTTTCCCAGCATCAGGGTCTTTTCCAGTGAGTCAGCTCTTTGCATCATGTGGTGAGAGTATTGGAGCTTCAGTCCTTCCAGTGAATAGTTAGGGTTGATTTCCTTTAGGATTGACTGGTTTAATCTCCTTGCTGTTCAAGGGACTCTCAAGAGTCTTTTCCAGAACCAAAGTTCAAAAGCATCAATTCTTCATAGATGAAGAATTGCCATTTTAAGTTTTATTTCTTGGAGTAAGTCACAGTCATATATTATTGGGTATCTTTCAGTCTTACTTTGAACAAATAAATGTTTGCTGAACTCCTCCAAAACAAGGTCAGGTCCCCTTTCCTATATGCTCAAATGGGCCACTTGCAGTTATATGTGTAATGCATATTTTTCTTGATGCCCCTAAGCCTCAGAAGAGAAGGAATTGTCCAATCTTTTTCATATTGGCAACCCTGGCTGTAATATGTCCTGAACAAATGCTTGTGGTTTGACTGAATGGATCAATGAGTGAATGGAGCACTGGTAATTTGTTTATATCCATATTGGTCCTGGAATTTCAAGGCATGTGATATATACGGCTATTGCTGGGCTGCCATGATTAAGATGTTATACACACACACACATATTCTATATGTATGAATTCTGAACAACTATGTTTGAAGTGGGAGAGAATGAAACTAGAAGCTTTGGCTATTTTAACACATGTTAAAATTAACACAAGGTTAATTCGTTGTTAGTCGCTTGGATGTACACATTTCGGGGGGGAAATTTTTAAACCCTCAGAAGAACTGAAAAACAGTATAATGAACACCTATATATCATTTCATCTAGGTTTCCCAACTGTTAACATACTCTCCTAGTCATTCCAGCTGTCACTTTCTCTCTGTTTCTCTCTCTCTCTACACACACACACACACACACACTTCCTTGCCAATCCATTGAAAAATAGACTGTAAACACCATGACTATTCATGCCTAACACTTCTGCATGCATCTCCCCCAAACACGAGTACATTATTATTCAGTAACAACATCATTTTCAAACCTAAGAAAGGGACTCTGATGCAATGACTTCAAGTTACTATTAATAGCTCTTAAACAAGATCTTCAGCTTTTCAAGGCTCTTGATGACTGGTAGATAATGAAAAGCTATTTAATTTTTTAAAAATCTTTTCAAAAAATAAATAAATAAATAAAAAATCTTTTCATACCAGAGAGTTGGTCTCAATCAATGATGTCACGTATAATTAATACATGAGGTCTGAACAAATGACTGTCAGAGATCCAAGCAGCTTTAGCGCCCACACGACCGCACCCAGAGAGCAGGTGTGGGACTCTGCTATCAGCCCTCATTTGTCCCCTTGAATCCCCTCCTGTCTGGGGACTGTCCCCCCATCGCCACCCACAGCAACACTCATCACTGTGCCCTGGCATCAAAATCACAGTCCCTGACTTTTTACATCATTGTCCTTGAGTTTGGGTCTTGAACCTTCATGGGTGACATAGTTAGCTTTTATTTTTATTTGATTTCATGGTTTACATATGAAGGTAGAAGTCTTATTTTCAAGGAGAAAACAGAACAGGCTCTATCTTGAAAGCAGGACTCTATCTTGGACTGGACTGTGGACTTTAAGCTATATGCCCAGTATCTATGGAAACGACATACCAACTGGAAAACCAGACCCAGGGCTTGTACCTAGACTCTCTGTCACCTAAAAGAATACCCTAATTATCTGTGTAACCGAATAGAATCATACATTCTATTATGCTTATTGGGGTATGACCACAGGCCTATTGATAATTGTCCACTGTTAACTACCTAGGCTTAAGGCATATGAATCACAGGTTAACTTTGATTGTATCTTTCTTTTTCCTTTGTTCAGACTAGTTTCAGGGAATCTGGGGAGGCGGGTTTGTGCATGCACACTTAGGGTATATAAGGTTTTCACAAAAACGGGTCAGGGTCCTTGGCTAAGAGGAGAGAGATCTGCTTTGGGCCCGCAGGTGTAATAAACTGCACCCCACTATATCTGCATTGTCCTTCTGAGTGAATTTGCTTTCCAGAACACGTGGTTACAACAATTTGATGGTTTGAAGCTAGCTGGTTGGTTAGCTTAAGAAGTTAAAGTGAGGAATAAAAAACAGATAGACAAAAGATACATGAGCACTTTAGACATTTTAACTTAAAATGTGCACACCAATTCTTCAGTCTTGTGAAGTAGGGCCCAGGTCCCATCTTTGGGAATGAAGCTGCTGTTTAGAGGGCTACAGCATCATTTTTGCTAAGTCACACCCATGATGTACTGTTGCAAAAACCAGTACTCGAGAAACCAAGCACCACGTTCGGAGAATTGGAGAACTCAGGTTTC